TGAATTAATAAAAATGAAGTTAGTTAATTAAACTATCAAAAATTAAGCTCGTAAAGTTAGACCTTTTATAGAATTTTTCATACGCATTTGTTGTTTTATTTAGCGTTTCTTGGGACAAATCTTTAATTGTCAGAATTAGTCAGAAAGAGAAAGGCGTACAAATTCAACCAATCTGATTTCAAAATATCACAATAATCGTGAAATTTTAAAAGCAAAGAATTTTAACGGATCTACCAGTCGTTTGCGTTTAATACATATGGAAAATCAGCGCCTCGCTGCTCCCTGCTTATAACCCTACTATTGCGCCATTTTATTAAGGTCGGTAATAATTTTTTTGAAACATACTGGGAAAGTTTTTGCTCATATTTCATTATATTAAAATTATTTTTATGCTTAAGTACATCAGCAATGACGTACTTCTTTTATCAAAGATTTAAATTTATACCAAATACATTTTTTTATAGGGTGATATGATGTAAATGGATTTAACGGGACCATCCTTTTCAATTTTCTCATCTTTCTTTCACACGTTTATAAAATATCAACTCCCAAATAAATTGATTGTTGAGAGCAACACCAAGTCCTGCTCTGCAATTAAAAAAATCTTTAAGCCTGAAGTTTAGCTTTTCATATGGCAGATGTGATCAGCAGAAAGCAAAATAAAAAAAAAGTTTAGGTTTTCCAAATAGTTTTCACTCGATTTCCGTTTCGCTCAGGCCAGCGAACTTGATATATTTTTTTATTTTTTTTAAACTGAACTACTCTAGTTTTTCGTGGCATCCTATTATTTCGCTCCTCAATAATTACATCCCAAATTCATTAAAAGCAAATATTAATTAAAAATCTGGCGTAGTATAATGCCGGATACATAGATGGAAGATTAGAAGATTAGAAGGGAGATATATCTCACGTGCACATTTATTGTAATGATGGCCTTTCAAGCTTACTCAAAAACAAGGAAACATTTTATTTTGTAAATAATTGTACATTTAAGAATTAACTTATAAAACACATTTTCTCTTTACAAATGCATGTTTTATTTTGATAGTATTGCTTTTACCTTCTTGTTCGGTAGATTCACTTCAGTCTTGATGACTTAATTTTTTTGTACAAGGTAACTAGAAAAGGTTTTTTGATTGTTTTTGTATCCTTAATCAACATTTCTATTTACATAGGAGATTAGATGTTAGGACATTCCGTCAGTTCGTAAAGAAAAAATGTCTTGAACAGTTCACAGCAAATGATAAAATATTTTCTTTTTCATGGATTCAAAGCGATTCGTGACTGCTTATTGTATAGATTTTAGCACGGTACTAGTGAGAAAGAGGCAGCTAATAAAATTTGCGCTGCATTTGGTGATATAGCCCAAAAGTGGTTCCCAAAGTTTTCTTCTGGGAATGAGGGGATTGAAGATGAATTGAGTGATGCTATCGAACTAGATTCGCTTCATATTGACAAGAGCTTGCCAGAATATTCATCGTAAGGGGTAAAACCAATTGATCTTAGATTCACTTGGGAAGACGTATAAGCCCAGCAAACGGGTTCCTCCAAAATTGACCGACGGTAACAAGCTCAGCGTCTAAACATTAGACTTTCATTGTTTTCACAAAGTAGAGACTTTTTTGACCATTGGAATGAAAAATGTAATCCTACCATGAGGTTGTACCATTGTCGTTCACCAAATGTCCCAGTCCCGATGGCGCAAAAACCTAATATTCGCCAAAAGATGATGCTTTGTGTTTAGTGGATAGGGTAGGCATTGTGAACTACGAACTCCTACCACATGCAAAGACGATTGAGAAGAAAAATTGGAAATAATAATTGCCTGACCATAACCGCACGAATCTACTCAAACCAACTGATACGAGTATCCATTGTCCTGGCTCAGAAACAACCTGCTATCGTGAACAGAAAAGGTGTAATTTTTTACCATGGCAACGAAAGGACTTATATAGCCAGAATGGCAGAGTTGATAACGAAGCTTCGTTGCAGTTGCAAGTCCTACTACACCCTCGGTACTCTCCGGACCTGGCCCCATCTGACTTTCACCTTTTCTTAGCAATGCGCATGGCAGTCAAATACGCAATCAGGGGTTCGATAATCGCCTACATCTGGAAATCGAGCCGAGTTTATTTTTTATGTCCCGGTACACACATGAGAAGGTCATAACTGAGAACTTTTGTAAGAAGGGCATTAAGAACTGAGCTAGTAGCACATTAGGAGAAGGTTAAGATAAATACAGTAGTTTTTAGGAATACATTTATTTGTGTGGTACTTCACGTTTTTCGCATGTTCAAAATTGGGCGGCATCAAAAACCAGCTTCTCATTGGAACGTCTCGTTGACGGTGGATCGACTACAATCATGTCGAAAAACGTGTTTGTAACTCCTTCAATCTGATGATGAGCGTTTAATGCTTGAAATCCGGACGTTATAAACAACTAATTGTGAGTGAAAACTATCTTTTAAAGTAGTTAAGCAAATTTTATGTCTTCAAGTGTATGATACCTCGCCCCAATGATGCCTATTTGTATGAATAGGTCCTGCAGGAGCAAGGTCAGAATTAAGGCAGATAGAAGCCAACTTCCATATTATTTTGTTGCTTGTTATTGTTATTGCTTAAATGTTTACATTGAATTTCCAACAAATCACGCAATTTTGAACATGTGAGTTTCAACCTAGATTAGTCAAGTTCTTTAAATTGCTGAAATTGTGTATCCTCGTTGGAATTATCTTATTATTATTATTATTTTATTTTTGATTATTATTATTGACCTATGTTCCTCAGAATATTGACCTCAGAGTAAATAGAAACAGAACACGCGAAAATCCCCTCCCATATTGATCTGTACGATTTATAAGGTGAAAATGTAACCGATGTCGATTGTAATGAATGAAAATGTGTTCTAAAAAAAAGTCTGTGAAAACAACTCTATTACTCCGAGAATCATCGTGGCAAGTTTTAAAATTAAATAAACAAGTTAGTCATTTTTTTCCTTATTTTCCTCTTTTGAAATGTCACTCTTCGTATTGTTGGAAACTTTGAGACAAAAGTGTACGGACAACTGCTCTTGATAATTTGCCGAAGTTAATCACACTGGTTGTTATTAAACTCGTGTAACTTTCAAATAAGTGCTGTGACGTTATAAACTTCATTTACAAGGTCGGTCTTGGAAGTTTGTTAATCTTTAATCTCGAAGGGAAATTATTAACAATTTATTATAATTTGATCAGTTATGGACGTTACGTGTTGTACTAATGTTAACTTTTTATTAATGAGAAATTATAAATTGAAATCCAATTCTGAATTATTAATAAATGTAATTAATACGTAAATATCTAAAAATATTTATTTTTTCCCTGTAAAAATCTGGAATAAGTATTATTTTATTACTATATTTTCTCACCCTTGCTTGCTTTTTAGTAGTACATAATACACAAAAATTAACAAGAAATTGAACAGAAAGATTAACAATTTAAAATAATACAATTTCAAATTTAAAATTATACATTTTGAAATTGTGTGCTCTAACAGTTTCCGAACTTATTTTGCCCAGGGTTACTGAGAACTCAATTATAAATAAGATGCATTGACAATAAAACCTGTTGGAAATTTTCTTTTACAGTTAATCTTCCCCTGGAAACATATTTTTTTATTATTACAGTAAAGCAAATGATATAATTTTTTAAATAACTGCAATTTATGAGTATTTCCTGGTGGTTCAACCCCTTTGTCCATGGTGACCATTTATGATTTATGTCTATACCTTGCAAAGTGTACTATGGAATTTGCACTTTCGTACAAGCCACTTTACTAATTTCTTCAGGATTATTGCCTTTACAAAATAGTATCAGATCTAAGCTTTACAATAAAGCTCTGCTTCTTCTTGGTACATAATCTATTTCAGTTTTACCTGTTTTTAGTTTTTTTTCTTCTTGTAAAATCAGTAGTCGGTGAGAAGTCTTATGATTTTCCTCAATTTTTGGCTGGTGACACAAACTTTTTTCATTCTATTTAATCAAGTTACAAACACTTTTAGTCATTTTATTATAGTGTGAGATCTTTTTAAATCTGTCCAGTTCCACTACTAGTATACTCTAGAGTGTGCTTTGGTGATTCTGGTCTGATAGGTTGAATGAAGCTTTATCTTATGCTAGGTTTGTCATCTACTAGTTCATTTCGTTCAATTTTCTCATGCTCTGCCAACCACATCATTACTTTTTCTCATACATAGGACGCGATTTTCAGACTAGCTTGGAACTGAAGTTAATAAACTTAATACTATTAATGTTTCCTGGTTTATGAGAGTATTTATGCCTAAAGTTTAATTGTATGGGCTTTAGCTTAGAATATAGAAACGATGCAATTTGAGCCGCTAATATTTCTCTTTTAAAATTTTTTTAATTCTCTCGTTTAATGAATCCAAAACTTTGTGAAGCGACACCCAAATATTTATACCTATCCCTATCCCTCTGGTTTCACTGATGGTTTAGGAGTTTGTTATTTCTGGTTTCTGTAATTTTATTTTATACATCGATAGCCATAGTTTTAATTTCATTTTGTCCCGTTTAGTAATGACTTTACTTTAAAATACAGTTTTATTTCAATAAAAGTTCATATACCATCCTTTGAATGTATGGAGGTGAAAATCAATTGAGAAAGACATTGAATAACATTTTGAAAAGTACTTGAACACCATGATGCTAATGGTGACCATGAGTCTAATAAATAATATCTATATATATTATCTTATAGCAACAACTTCCGAATAGCAAGAAAAACATCTATTTGATCTTTGTAACCAAACAGTCAAAATAAAAAGTTCAGACATCACTGCCAAGATTTGTCTTGCAGAAACAATGTCAGTTAGAATGCCAAACTGATAATTAAAGAGTAGAATATTTTTAGACTGCCCGGCGTTTACAGTGTCTGGCTTATTTACTCTTTTTTGTTATATTTAGGAAAACATTGCAGAGGAATTTAAAAAGTGCTTTTTTCAGGTCTGAGCTTGGAAAACAACTTGGCTCTGGTCGGGCCGCAATCTCCCCTTGACATGAAACCCGATACGGCAAGTTTACTGGTCGGAGGTTTCAGCCCAACTGGAGGTACATCAGGATCAACGAGCCCTACGTAAGTTCTTTTAAATTTTTCAAAACCTAAGCATAACAGTCATTTTAGCTATGCATGGAGCGTACAATTTGTATTTAATTTATAATATTAATTTAATAAATCCTATGCTGAAATATAAGCACAATCAACACAAATACAGCATTTTTTATATTTGGTTTCAATTTATTTGGTTCTCTGTTTTTATATTTGGTAGCAAATATCATTGTTTTTCTTTGTTAAATTAATTTAGAAGAACTTTTTTTATGTTATATGTCAAAAGCAAAATCCCTTTTAAAATATTGTTAAAACTGTAAAAAAATAAAATATAATTTTAAAATTTTTGGACACTATCATATTGTGAAATTGTTACTTCCAAGTGATCATTTTAAATACTTTTAACATTTAAATATATACAAAAAAACTAGATTGCATTGTATTTGTTTATAAATTATAGTGGAAAAATGTGTAATTAACTTATGGGAAAAATTGTGATGTTGAATTTTAATATCCTGGGAATCGTGAATTAAAATAAAAAGTGAACTGCCTTGACTGGACTACATAGTTACCAACAGAATTAAAATGAGTTTCGCTCTCGGCTCACCTTGACAGTGGGATTTGTATTTTAATATCAGTATGTATAGTTCCCATGTCAAAGTACTTGTTTTTTGTATGGAACTTGAGCAATGAAAATAAATTAGTTATAAAATAAAAGGCGTAAATTTTAATGAAGTTCATATTTGTTTCAATTTAAAAAAAATTTGTTAACTTTGTTTAATGATAAATATATTTCCTATGTTCTATTGTTCGAGCAAAATAGAAGTATGTAAAAAATTCTAGCCATACAGTGGATGATTTTAAACATCCATTGCATATGCAGTTTCAATTCATTTTTCCACAAATTCATTTTTCATTTTGAACTTTCTTTCATTGAAAATATATTGGTTGTAAAGAACTTTCTTCTTTCTTTACTTTTCTTTCATCAATAAATGACAATTATCTCTTCTGTAAGTATATTTTTATCTCAAATTATTTTTGAATTTGTTAGCATGTTTAACAGTTTGGTATTTTTTCCACTTCTAGTGAGAAGAAAAGAACTAAAACAAAGTGAAAGTATTTTTTACAATGATATTTTTGTTGGAAAACTTTTGAAATAATGTTTTTTTATTTATTTAATTTATTTATATTTTATAAATTTATTAAACCTTAGTTTAATACTAATTATAAATGTGTAGTATTAAGTGATTTAATTAATAATTATTTAGAGGTCGTGAGATGATGTCTGGTGTAATAAAGGTACTAATTATAAAGAAAGGTGAACAGAGGAGAAACTAAAAGACCACAACAACTATAAATAATTTTTCAAAACACAGAGATAAAGTTGATCGATTAAGCAATTATTTGTAAATCGTTTTATAAAAACTTTTTTAAAGCATATAATAAAGAAAATAGTTTAAAATTGTAGTTCAAGTTCTTTTTTGTTTTTATTTTTCAGAACATTCAATATTGGTCACAGTAGCGTTTTAGGAAATGGAAACAAAAGCACTGTCGTATACCCTCCTAATCACCCTCTCAGTGGTTCAAAACATCTCTGTAGTATCTGTGGCGACAGAGCATCGGGGAAACACTACGGTGTCTACAGGTAACAAACAGGCATTGGATAATTTTAGTCTATTTTTTAAATGCTCCATTTCTCTTTAAACTTGCCCTTGAAGGATGCCAAAAATCTCTTTTTGGCTCATAGATAATTTTTCATTACACGGAGAGTCGGTCAACTTGTCACGGATATATTTCTGACTGACCTCTGCCAGGTCTGATGTTTTTTCTTTAAATTTAAATTTTTCAGTTGTGAAGGATGTAAAGGATTTTTCAAGAGGACAGTCAGAAAAGACTTGAGCTACGCATGCCGAGAGGACAAACAATGTCTTGTTGACAAAAAGCAAAGGAACAGATGCCAATATTGTAGGTATCAAAAATGCCTTTCTATGGGCATGAAACGTGAGGCTGTCCAGGTGAAATATCACAAAATTAGCTTTATAGCACAAGCTTTATTTTGTATATGCGAAACAAATAAAATAGCTAGGTCATAAAATTTTAGGAAGAAAGGCAAAGGACAAAGGACAGAGACCAAAATGAAGTTGAAAGTACAAGTAGCTTCCATACTGACATGCCTGTCGAAAGGATTCTTGAAGCGGAGAGAAGAGTCGATTGTAAAATAGAAACACCTCCAATCGACTTTGAGGTAATTATTTTTATCGATTATAATACCAACCCTAGTTTTATTCAAAAAAAAAATTGTAGAAAGGTGTGCTGAGATGATCATCTCTGATTTACTTACCTGGTTTTGTCTGTCACCTTGCATTTACCCATTTTTCAGTGGTTGTTCTAAATCAAAAGATTGTTATAAAAGGCACAAACGACAAAATAACACACAGCTTCTTCAGGCTAACCACTGAAGATGACAAAATACCGAAACACATTTATGTTCAAGAGATGATAAAATTATTTTTTTTTTAATTTTGTGTCAGGAGATCAATAAATATATATGAACAATTTGATGTATGTAAGATACTAGAACCTTAAGCTATTATTAATTCTTAATAAATTCATAATTCCTTTAAATTTTGATCCTGTGATGAATTGTATTTTAAAATGTATTAAGGATACCAGAATTCAAATTATTCATGTTCTTTTTTCCCCGCATGTAAGCAACCGAGCGAAAGAAGTACACATTTTTTTATTTTTAGAATCAAACAAATGAGATCTGTCAAGCGACTGACAAACAACTTTTTCAACTTGTCGACTGGGCAAAACATATACCCCATTTTACTTCATTACCCCTAGAAGACCAAATCTTACTTCTTAATGCGGGTAACATTATTATATAATTATTAAAAAATATTGTTTGAAAAAGCACGGATAAGTCATTATTGATTATGAATCAGGTTGGAATGAACTCCTCATAGCAGGATTTTCCCATCGTTCTGTGACAATCAGGGACGGTTTGGTACTCGGATCCGGAGTGACCATCAATAGGAATAACGCACATCAAGCTGGAATGGGAACGATTTACGATCGAGTATTAACAGAGCTCATTGCTAAGATGAGAGAGATGAAAATGGACAAGACGGAATTGGGTTGTCTCAGAACAATAATTCTTTACAATCCAGGTAATTTTTCATTGCATTTATATATCTTTTTGAAAAAAAATTCTTCTATTTTTTTGTACAGAAGTCAGAGGCCTAAAGTCAGTTCAAGATGTAGAAATGCTCAGGGAAAAGGTTTACGCTGCGCTTGAAGAATATTCTAGGATGAGCCACCCTGATGAACCCGGGAGGTTCGCCAAACTACTGTTAAGGTTGCCCTCGCTTAGGTCGATTGGCCTCAAATGTCAAGAACACCTGTTCTTTTACCGAGCCATCGGTGACGTTTCTGTCGACACATTTCTACTACAAATGCTTGAATCACCTGAAAGGCTTTAAATTGTTATAACACATTGTTTCTTTTTTTAAAAATTATATATTTTTTTTAGAATTTTACGATCCCTGTATATTTTAAGGCTTTATAAATTCTAAACGGTTATGGAAGCTTCGAATCCAATAAACCATAGATTACCATGTAATGCAAATAATATACAACACTTATTTTGTAGGACTAAAGAATTGTGACATGAATTTCTCTGCACAAGAGAGTTTGGCTCATATTAGATGTTTTTTCGTGAAGACTTTGTATTATAGAAAGTAAGAATTAGAAACTTCTCATTAATTAAATTCCTTTTTGGCTCCCAATGATATTAAACGTTGGGAAAGAAAAGTTTCTTATACATTGAACAACTATAATCATACAATTCCAGTATGTACCTATATATTATATATAATTGTTGTTATAAATCTCTAAAAATATACGTTTTATTTTATTTTTACATAAAAATCGTTGAATCTTAATTAAATGCTATCAATGTTAAAAGAAAATTGTAAAATTTTATTGTAATTGTTGACTGTTGTGATTTTTAAAACTTGGCAAATTGTACAATTTGATAGATGAATATTTTATTTCTTCTACATGTTCATCAATGTGATAAGCAGAAACCGATATGGTTTTTATTTTGTTTTCTTTTTTTAGGTGCAGCGTAATAAAACATTCATTATTTAATAAGTGTTTCATAATTAAAAAAATAAATATATAAAATATTATATTTCAATTATATCTAATTCGACCTTAATCCTAGAATAGTAGTCTACATTCTCAATCCCTTTCACAAACCAGGTATTCAAAACATGATGCCCATAAAATTGTTCTTATCACATTGACTATTATTACATTATGTAATATAACTAATCTTTGAAAAAATATTGTAAAAGTAGTCATAATTGTTAGTTTAACTCTTTTCGTAGTGCTGAGATCTCAATCTGTAATGATTAAATATTTAAATAAAAATTTAAAAAAACACATACATACAAATATCTTGGAAACATTATTTATACAGTGGTACCTTGAAATTGGAGTGCCCCAACATACAATTTTAAGAACCGAGCCTACTATGATATCACAACCATCACAGAATTTCTGTCATGTTTAATTTTAACTTAATTACGTGCCTAGTTATTTAGATCTTTTGCGTATAGTATAATTTGTTTAATTAAGTTACGCAAAAGTAAAGTGAATGAAGCAATTAAATTTGAACTATGAAAATATATGTGTAGAGATTAGTGATCGTTAATCGATAGTTTTTCAGATATCGTGAGATGCGGTCGGGTGTGATGTAGGTTTCAGAAAAACATTTTCTTTATCGTGCCAACGTTTCGATCTTTTATTGAGATCATCTTCAGGGCTCAATAAAAGATCGAAACGTTGGCATGATAAAGAAAATGTTTTTCTGAAACCTACATCACACCTGACCGCATCTCACAATATCTGAATAACTATGAAAATGTAAGCCGAAGCTAATTGTCTAATCTTTGGATAATCGCTTTCCATGTAAATAAGTTTATTTGGTTTTATTTTGTATACAACAGCTATTCATTATAAATTCATTATTATAAAAACATTGAGTTAATCTCATTTCTATGGCAAAAATTGATTTGAGATATTTTGACTTATGAGCAGTCGCAAATTAAACTCATATCTCACCGTACCACTGTAAAAACTATGGAAATTATTAGGTCTTGTCAAAATATTAAGAATCATGCTTTAGAAAAAAACAATCACTTTTTTTAAAATAAACATACCACCTCTCAATATGATACCTCTTTTGTGTAAATTTTACACTTTGTTGTGAATATCGTATTGAGGTGATGAACCTTTATGTAGCTGGATCATTTCCGATCATCATGGTCTGCCTATTCTCACCGGTTTTATCTGTCAAACAAGCTGCTGTATCGGCATAAGATAAAATGCTTTATTTACAACAGAAATATGTAGTACAATTTTAACATTGAGAGAAAAAAGGCTTCAGCCATAAACAGTTTCTGCACTTTGCAATTGTCGATGTTGGTCTGTTATTTTAACTATTGTATCCTTTTATAAATTTAACTTCACTTATAAAACTGATGTACTTCATAAACATTTTAAGAATGGTCAACTTGGTATCACACTTTAGGGTCTACTTTTAGACTGAAGAATAAAGAAGTATTGTGTTGCTTAAAACAGTAAACAGCGGTGTTGTTTTCTAAATTTCCCACTCCCGCTAGCACTAAAAATACTAAGTTAAACAACACACTGCTTCTATGAACTTGAATATAGAAGTTAAGAGAATAGAGCACGATATCACCCTCAAAGTTCTTCACTTGTGGAACGAATAGCCCCTCCCTCAATGGGCTAAACTTGTTAGATCACATACATCACAATAACAAAGATACATAATATGCAGCATCACAGTTCAATGCTTAAAAGGACACAGCAGACAAAATAACGCAAAGACCAACCAATGATGATGCAAAATGCCGAAACACATCTGATGCCATCCAGCGAGAATAGGCACTTAGTCGGCCTATCTGAGACGATAAAGAGTTAAAATTACTCTGTTCATTTTAACAGAACATTAATTCAGTAGCCCAGAATGTGTAAAGAATATTTTTATGTTATAGATATGATTGTGAGGGTTTTAAATGTTTCATTAAAATTGTCTTTAATTATTAGTATTTATTTGGATTAATTTTATACCTTGATGGATTCTACCACCCCAAAGAGTGAGACGCCTTTTGATATTCATGTTTATTTTTTGCACAAACATTAAAAATAATGAAGTTTAAAAATGTTACATAATATATTAATCAAAGTAATCATCAATGTCTATATCTGGATTGAGTAGTTCAGAGCCGAAAACGGTCAAATCGAGTTGATTTAAAATTAAATTTTCACACATTTCTTCTATGTCGGTGTCTCCGATGAGTACTGCTCCTTGCATTCTACCGTCTTTCAATATTAACTTTATGTACTCTTTGTTTTTTGTTACTCTGAGCAGTATCTCGTATTTGCCATCTAGGGTCTGACCGTTGAAAAGGCCTAAAAGTGTCACTTTCATTCCGAAAAATGTAGTCACATGAGTGAACAGTTCGAAGCAAAAATCCTGGAGAAGCTCTTCGTTTCTAATCGAGCAGCACATTGATTTTGCGACGTACATTCCCATCTGCCTGGCTTGGGTCCAGAGGCGCATTTGAAACCATTGAGGCGCCAAATCCCAGCCGGTTGAACAGACATCACCAGCTGCGTATACATCAGGCTGGCTTGTCTCCATTTTCCAGTTTACCTTCAGACCGCCGTCTTCAGCAATATCAAATTCGCTGTTTGATAGAAAATTCACATTCGGATGAACACCGATCGCAGAGACGACAAAGTCACAACCCACTGTTTTATTGTTTGATAACTCCACATAAACTGGCCAGGTGTCATCTCCATCTTTTATTTGAACTACATGACAGGAATATTCGACTGTTACTTGTCTACTGTCGAGAAGACCCTGTAAATTGACGTTTGTATGCCAGTCAGGGCCTAAGGCAGCACCTTTTGACCCTTCCTGCCCTTCAACAGTGTATTTCATTCGTTTTACCACGGTGTCTTTTTGTTCCTCAACTGTTCCTTTCAGCCTGTCTTGAAAAAACTCAGCTGCACCAGGGTCTATAAATGTGGCAGAAATATGTTTGTCCTTGATAGCCCAAACGATTTCCATCCCTGTTATTTCATGAACAAGTTCTGTGGCTATGCCGCCATTTCCGACGACAACCATTTTTTTACTGTTTGAAGCATACTTTTGGAATTTGCGCACAGAATCTGTATCTCTAATTGTCAATATGCGTGGGTTTGTGCTTAAAACTTTAGGAGATGCTCCAGTACAAATGCAAAGTTTTTCATAATTGACTTCAATTCCTGATTTTGTGTAAACAGATTTTATACCATGATCTATTCTCACTACTTCATCAATGATAACAGAAACAGACTCATACTCGTCGGATAGACATTGTGCGTCTCTTTCTTTAACATCAAAATGTGCTAACATTTTAGTCAAATGCTTTAGATTTGTGACCGTTTTGACCACTGGTGAAGCACTGATTAAAATTACTTTTACATCGGGAGCTAAAATTGCTAAACTTTCTAAACACGAAACACCGGCTATGCCACCTCCAATTATAACAATTGTCGCTTCTCTCATTTTGGAATTTTACTTATAATCAGAATAATCGTATTCTCGAAAAGGAACGTCGTAAGTAATCAGGCCCCTGTCTTTAGCAATAGAAATCGCGATTTTGAGTTGCTGGAATTTCTTCTGGCATACACCAGTGACCCTGAAAAATGAAAAGGTGTGTTAAATAGTAGATCGTTTTAACTTACAAACTAAAAATCATTCAAGATTAAAAATTTTAACTTACGAATAGCTGAGAATTTCTCCAGTGTGAGGTGATATGAACTGCTTCAAAAGATCAACATTTTTTGGGCTCAAAACCAGGTATTCATCCCGACAAAGAGGACATGGATTACCAGTTGCTATCACTCCACTTCTCTACAAATTATAAAAAAAACCACACATGAATATTTGAAGAAATGTTTAATCTAAGTTTGTACGAACAGGGTAGTGCAATTTTCGGATACCATAGGGGAAACAATGCGCTACACCATCTGCTTATTAAATGAACTCTTGTGCAATTTTATAATTTAAACTAATTTCTTTACTTTACATTGCCAAATTGGAATTAAATTCGTTCAATATTTACCAAGAAATTAGTTTTATTTAGAAAATTGCACCATTTATGCAAGTAAATATTTATACAGTTTATTCAGTGTATAACTTAAATTATTGGACTTTAACGTTAAGTGAAATCTAGCAATAGATTCCCTGGCAGTCACTACTTTGATTGGGGGGAAAAATATACTGCTTTTACATTTGTCAATGTATGAAATATTTTAAAACTTTGATAACTTTTAGTATATTTTTATTGCAATCTACATTTAAAAAAATGGTGTAAAATGATATATTCATATAGTTGATTTGAGCAAATAGAAGGACAAAATAAAAATATTAAAAGACAGAAAATTTCAACTTTCAAATTTTTATTGGCAGAACAAGGGCCTATTCACAATAAGTGGCGGATAGGAGTCCGATATTTCAGTGTAGAATCACCAAAAAAGTTTGGCCCAAATTCATCCCCTTGTTAGATCTATAATGCATAATGATCCAGCCATTTATCTTTAAGCTCAGCACAAAATTGCTTATTATTTGATACTTTCCAGTCAATGCTATGAAACTCTGAGAACAGCTAGATTTTTATTTCCTTAAAAAGCACTGTGTGTAAGGGATACAATTTGTCTACACATATTTGTAATGAAAACAACAAAATACTTACGATACAGGTTTTCCTGGTTTTCGATGGCGGTATCCCACCTTTATGGTTCCTTCGGTAATTCTTCCATACAGGATTGTTCCCGTAAGTTATATTATAAGCTGAAAAAATGGCATAGAATGTAGTAAACATCTCGGTTTCTCAAAGACCATTTCATTACCTTTGCTTTGTAAGTACTGAATACTCGTTTCAACCGGTATCTGTACGATTGCCTTCTTTTTACTTCCAGCGACTTCTTCAACAGGCTCTTCCTCCGGTTGGTTCTTTAGGGTAGAAGTGGTGCAAATTTGTCTGCAAATACCCTGTGTAAATACCCATTATGTTACTTTGCATTAATTGTATGGTCCAAGCAGAAAAACTACTAGGATTTAGATATTTTACTTACAATTCTGGTTCCCGTTTGACTAGAATGAACTTGTCTCGGTATAAATGTAGCTGAGAGAGTTCTTCTGATTAAAGAACTTAAAGACATTTCTCACAATAAAAAGCGTTATCAGAAATGTAACACACGCGTACGACTAAATTTCGTCCTTCATTACAAAGTAACAAACTACAAAGTACAAAGGTTCTGCAATCTGCGGTGCCAGAAAAAGTTACTAATGTTATCACGGAAGATCGATAGTAAAGCATAGAGAAAAATAATTTTTTCTTCAATTAAAAAAAAAAATCTGCTTTACTCAAGAAAAATTGTTTTAAGAATGCTTCGATACATTAAGAAAAATAACACGAACAGAGAAAAAGCCGAACCTCTGGGAGACTTTTATGTAATTTAGCAAATTAACATATAATACTTATATGCTAGTGATACGGATAAAAGAGGTGGCCCCAAGCCCTACACCTCGACCTGAGTAGATCTATCGTGCTCCTCTATTTTTTATAACTCCCTGGCCAGATTCAGGTTGTTAATCAACCTCCATATCCTTCCAGCGGCTTCTTAGTGAACAATCTTGCTTGAGGCTTTTCCTCTCCTAGTTGCAAGGATCCAAACGTACAAATACCTTCACAAAAATATAAAATGTGTTCTGCAGTCTCTCCTTTCCTGGCAGTAACTGCACAGTGGTTCTTCTGCCTGTACTATCCATTGCATGTGCCTTCTTAGGTGGCAGTGTGCTGTCACAATGAATCTCTTCGCCCTCATGCCTGGGGTGTTATTCCATTAAATGTGGAATCATTAGGGATAAAATGTATTCTCTTTAGTGGCAAGATTCTAGGCGGGTTCAGGATCTAGAGAGTCCCTGTTGTTCAACCTTTCCATTGCTCTATGCCCCGAATACCCAGGGACCATGATGTCTGAACTTGTCTGAATGATTCCAATAAATAATTACCATTGTACAAAATCATTTAATTAATTCATGAATATACACAATATCTACATATAAGAAAGAAAAAGATTCTCATTAAAACGCTTTATTTTGATGGAATAATTACTTCCGAATGCTTATCGAGTGGGCTAGTTTTATTACCCAATGGTATATCTCCTTTGTAATAGTTAAACAGAAATAAATAGTTTTCCAAACTTTCCATAATTTTCCCGTTATTGTATATACATGATTTGTACCAATGAAGCACAGACGGTATGAAAAAAGGGTTGGATATAAGGAATATTGGTGTGAGATAATTCATATTCTGTAAATATATACAAGATAAGATTGTTAAAAACTGTAAGCACCGCTAAATGCTAAGAGTAAATTTGGTATTAGAGTGACTTACTAATGTATTGTTCGACTGAAAGTTTGAGTCGTATTCATTAAATGGAGGAACTGGTGGAAACAGGACCATCATTTTTGTGTCTTGCGCTCTGTATTCCAAAGAGTGGGTAAAATAAAAAGCCTAAAAAATAAATAATTTATAAGAAAGAATTAGATTTAATCTGTATATACTGTGGATTAAAAATAAAGGCAATATTCCTTAGAACATAGCTTAATGCCTGTATAAAAAGTTTAATTTGTACCACTTTCATTATAATTTGTACTCTACTAGGTTATAAAATTTTATATTTACTGAAATAATAAATGAAATGAAAACTCACACAAATCGGAAACAAAATAGATCTGAAATTTGGTTATTGCTGATCATTGTGACCTGTATATCCTTACGGCATTGAAAGAAATATGCACTGCAGCAAGAAGTTGAAAGGCATTTAATAAACCAAATCAGCAAGGATAGTACTACCAAAATAACCGGAAGCTATAGGTTCATACCTGAGATATTCAAGCATATACCATGCGTATAATTAATTTTTTAAATTTTTTTTTATTGTATTTATGTTTTGAAGTCTGTATTTTGTATTAATTATAATCCATTAGATTTTGTGATCCAATTGACCAAATAACATCTTTCAATTGATTAATCTTTATACAAGGTATTGGTTGAGATAAAAAAAGTCAGTGACACTTGTGGGATTTGAACCCACAACCTTCGGCATGGCCCAGCCGAAGGTCGTGGGTTTGAATCCCGCTCGTGACACTGGCTTTTTTATCTCAACCAATACCTTACATAAAGATTAATTAATTATAATATTATTTACTTGGCTATGTTTTTGTGTTAGGTGGAATTTTTCTATTTATTAAATGTTACTGTTCACAACAGAGATTGATTTAAGTTCTTTAAATTGTTTTCAATGCGATTAAACCTTACGTTGTTCTTTGAGAATGAGTTCGAACTTGAAAAGAATAATTGGCTTGTCAGTTTTAAAAGTTTATCCCTTTTTGATTTAACTGTAAAGAAAGAACGGTTAATCTCTATGATGAGTGGGATTGCTATGTCAGCGTACTTTGCAATTTGCATTCTCCTATGATTATGTTTGACAGAAATTTCATTACTACTCCATAACAACTATTCTCCAATGATTCATACCTCCTTAAAAACATTTTCTATAAACACTACTAAAAAAGTTTATTAATAAAAAAAATTATTTCCATCTGTGAGAGAAAAGGGACTTCAGCTGAGCGTTTTATTCTGACTCAATACAATTATTTTCACCAGAACTGTAGTAGAGTGAAAATATTTTCCTTTTATTGATGTATAAATGGTGATATTTATCATAATAAGTATGGTTTTCCTTACTGCCTAACTTGTCTTTGTCTGACACGTTATTCCTCAAGTCTAAATTTAATAAAATCACTTGTACCTCTTTTCTTTAGTATTTTTACTTAATTTTCTTAATTTCACAGTTTCAAAGTTTTCACAGTCTTCAAATAGCTATTAATGCTTGAACTTGTTATACACTAAGCAGTATATCACAAGCTCTTCTATCTGATGAAGATGAAAAATTAATTTTCAATTGCGAACTTTTATGGATTGTTTCGGTAAATTCAAAAAGGTTTTAGTGCCAGTAGATTTTAGAATTAGGACCATAAAATCTGCTGGAAATAAAAGATTCTTGAAATTACATAAACAATCCGTAAGTTCATAATTGAAAATTATTTTTTCTTCTTCAGCAGAAACATGAGCTGAAGTAAGAAGTAAATTCAAAGAGCTTTTCATTCCAGCAGATTTTAGAATTTAAACCAGAAAATAACTGCTTTTTGATTTTACCTAAACAATCATCAACAGTGGAGTTGTAGTTCATTTATTTAGACATATTTACAAAACCAACCAAAATTTAATTGTCTCTGTAATTTAATTTGGAAAATACGTTTATAAAAAGCCCATTAAACAGGATGATCATTCTTTTACAAATTGACTACAATCCAAGACAATTTTTCCATTCTAAATTTCAAACAGGAAAGGATTATTATCTTTTCCCCATCAATAGTTTCTGCTTTTTGTGTGATTTTCAGTCTATTGTTAGATCCACACAATGGACTGTCCAATTAAGTTTGGGGAACAACGACAATGCAAAACCTTCAACTGCTCCATATTTTAATCCAAGAAGAAGTCAGAGCAGCAGCTCACAGGCTAAATGGACAACATATGCAAGGATAGGACAACAAATCACAGAAACAGAAGGAAGCGATATTGACAGATACCATACGAGGTATGCCAATTAATGCCACAACTCCCAAATACAATTTAACCAACAAGCACAATGTACTTACACCAGAAAAGAAGAGTGGGCCAAAGGAATACCTCTGAAGGCCAATTCATTCCTATTGATGGCTCCAAAAAGATAAAGGCTCAGGAGCTGTAGGCCTTTTGGTGAACTAGCTTTAAACTTAGATAGTTCTTAAACTTAGTTAGGTAGATAGGTTACAATTTTCCAGTCTGAAAATATAGCAATTAAACACTGTGCAAGAGAAATAAAAAGGTCTAGGAACTGGCCCTGGCTTGGGTCCTGGGGATTCGGGACATAGAGGGAATGTAAAAGTGGGCATATTGGCGGAAAAAAAAAAAACCAATATGAATTCTACAGGTCCCAAGGATAGGCAATTTAGTGGAAATTAATAAGGACTGGAATTTGTCAGGGTTTAAAAGAATGCTGTTATTTTTTGACCATTGGTTGAGAGAATGAAGATCAAGAGAGATAACTTCAGAGATGTTGCTTGTAGGGCATCATTAAAGAGGTGGGAATGTAAAATGTAACATCAGCATAAAGATGAATTAGGGAGAAATTAAGAACTAATAAAAGAAACAGTAAAGGTACAAGAATAGACCTTGGTGTACACCGGCTGAAATTGAGAGAGAATTTGAAGTTTTAACTCTCTGAGTTCTGTCAAACAGATAGGATGAGATGAGATTAATAGCAGTAGAAGAAAAAACAGAAAAGATGCATCAGTTTTTAAATAAGCAAATTACAATTTACAGAGCCGAAAGCACTGGAAAAATCAAGTAGAATAATAATAGTACACTTGTTATCATCAATGCCTAGGCGAATATCATATGAGATTTTAAGAAGGGCTGACTCATTAAATTTTTGGAAGAAAGATTGAAAAGGGGATATAATAATAAAAGGGCATGGGAGTGAAAAAAATAAGGATATTTGCTTAAAATAAAATCTCCTCAAATGCTTTACATAGGGTAGTCATCCAAGGGTGGGTTTAAGTTTCTTGGGTAAAGCTAAAAATAGGCCTTTTGGCTATTTCTGTAAGGGCTTTTTAATTTCTTTTAAGAAATTATTTAAATTTTGCATTTTCAATTGTTTAAAACATTTATTGCTTAAGAATTGAAAATTTAAGGTTTGAGATCTCTTTTAATCTGAGCCATCCCAAGTTGTAAGCTTTCCAATTTGCAGACATTGGAGCAGCACGTGACACAGCGGACCCCCGTCCAGTTTGTAACAGATTGGGAGGTTGAGCGTCGACCACAGTAGGGCAATCTTTATAATTTTTTTTTGTTGACAAAAGTTTATTTACTCGTTTGTATAACAAATAAAATCACATTTTAAAACATTTCAAACGGTTTTTTCCTATAATGTCAGCAATGTCTTCGACGCTCGGGCAAAACTCAGGCGAATCTCAGAAAAACGAGAACGATTTCAAAGAGTACAAAAATCGGGATGAAGTAAGCTTTGAGGATGGCGAGTATTTAATTGAGGTCATTTCATTCTACATATTTTTTCTTCTCCTTCTGCAGAAGCCGAACAACACTCAATCACAAGTGGTAAATCACTACAATTCAATCGAGGAGAAAGGCCTCTCATACAGGAATCAAAGCAGAATCGTCTACTTGAGGAATTTCAATAACTGGATTAAGTCCATGCTTTTGGGTAAGCGATGTTATAACATTCTAAGCTCAGTGCAATGCAAACGAAAGACCTTATACAATGTAAGATGCGGAATTAGAGAGTATAAGGGTTTACATTCAATCTGTACGTGCAGAATGCTTGGTGGCTTAATTTATCTAAGGATTTTATTCCTCGTCCTAGTTGCAACAGTTGAACAGTGTAGCTTTTAGTATTGCAAGTTTTCATCATGAGGTCTGTGGGGGTGATGAACCTGTAGTCGGTTGGTCAGGATAGGTCTGCATATTCTCCCTCTTGGTCAAAGAAGAATCTTCAAAAGGATTAAAACGTCAATGGATGTAAAAGTACATACTAATGTGAGACTGTCTAATGCTCGTGGCCCCAAAGGACGGCATAAACATAACTTCCAGTCAAACCTAATTAACAAAAAAAGTGGAAAAAACCTCAGTCAAGAAAGACGCTGTTGGCTGGTACGCTGATGGATGCAAGAAGATGCAGGGGCAGAGGTATTTAGCCCCAAAACCAAATATTCAGATCCAATGGCAAGTGCCTTTCAAGCTGAAATCTACAAAATTGAAAGATGTATTCAGTTCAATCTGAATAAACGGTTAAAAAACAAGAACATGCCGTCATATCAGAAAGGAAGGCAGTTATTGGAGTATTAAATACTCTCAAAAAATAAATAAAAAGATTGATCACTTGTATTTATTTGTTTATTTTCCGTAATAACTAGGTTTAATAATTAATAGTTGACTTAAAATGTAAACACAACATTAATAGTCCTTTTACACTTATGATTAAAAATAAAAAAAATCAGTTCAAATTCATATTTTCCAGAGAAAACTTGTCGAATGAGTTAATTGGTTTTTAAATTGATTTTTTCAATAAAACAATAAATTTAAGTGAAAAATTAATTATTCATTTCTTAAAAGCACAGCCTTAAGTTGAGATCTCACCTGGGCATATGCTTTGGCTGACAGATGTAGGGTCCATAACATAGCCCATTTACAACGTACCATTGTTTTATTGCTCTTACCATACTAAGGAACTGTCATTTAATGGCTTCCTTGATGGGTAGTCAACTCCAAACGTAATGTAAGAGTGATCTGTAAAACTGTTATCAGAAGGCTTGGTGAGAATAGCCTAATCTCTAGACATCCCGCATCAGGTTCTCAACTGTTGGAGAGGCATCGAGTAGAAAGTGACTATTGACAAATCAACATCTTACTTGGACACTTAAAAAAATGGGTGGCTGTTACATAGCCCAAGTCCTGGCTGTGCTGTGCTCTACAATCTACCATGGTCTACAGCAGTTTAGGGCCAGTGGAAGTCTCGATTGAAGAGAAGGGAGTTGTTGACCACAATGTAGCTAGAGGATGATAATTTATTCTTACCACACTAAGGAACCGCCATTTAACGGTGATGAAAATGAATATACAGTGGAATTCACTCAGTGGACACAAACTGGCAAGATTTTGAAAGAAACAAAATGCATCAAAGGAGAATGAAGAGACTGAATTCTAAGGGCAGCTACGCACTTGCAATTTTCAAATGCTGTAACTGAAAAATCTCAATCACTACGGCAAATAGAGTAGTGTGAAAATGGATCTCATCAAGCAGGTTGAGCTTTGTGCATGAGTTTTCTGAAATAGAAAAGAAAACAGGGAAGAAAATATTGGGTGCATCCCCTCATTAGTCTGAGAACAACCAAAGGGCAATTATAAAATTCATCTTAATTTGAGGATATACTCTCAGAAATTTTTGCAGTGAGTATGTGATCAGTGATTTTATCTTCTATTTGTGTTTTAATGCACATATAGCTTCTTTTCTGCATACAGGAGGGCTTAACGTCCAACTACTTGTGGAATATCATGGATGAGGGAGGGTCGTTTTACAATATCTTCTACATATTATTCTCAATTAAAAAGTCATGGGCTATGCTGGGATTCAAACCCAGGACTGCTAGTGTGGCAAATACAACTTGGATGCCCTAACCACTCAGCCACTGCAGTCTCCTTTTCCTTCTAGTTTAGCATGATTATCTATGCAGACCTTTTTCTTGGTCTGGTGCAGAAGGTTTGGGTATGATGTCAGGGTTTTGTTGGTATGTTTGAAGTAAAATTATTTTGTAACTTGGTCTGTCAGACGTATTTTGGCGTTTCACCATCTTCAGCGTCTCATCATTTTCTGCTGTTGTTCTCAAAACTTTTTCTTTGGTATTAAGAATTTAATTGTTTATGTATCTGCTTTTATTTGTACTACATATTCTTTTATTGTTATTATTTTTTTGCTCGTCCACATCCTCACCATTTCTAAGGGAGACCCCACACCAGCGGATCACATCCTAATTTATTATAATTTAAATCTACAAAGGGGGTCAGTGTTAGTTTAAACACCTGTGTGGGCTTATTCTTTTAATTATTAACTACAATTAGCAATTAGTTTGACTTGAGTTATTAATAGAAATGACTGAAAGTCCTTAATATAATTTTAAAGGAATATGTGCTATTATTATTTTGTGTTTTAATATTATTAATAATTATTTCTTTGTGAGAATTCTCCATGCTGTCTGTGGGGTGACGAACCTGAAATTTGGTCATTGTCAATTATTTTGGTTTGCTTATCCTTGCTGGCTTGATATGTCAGTCGCATTTTAGCATTTTGCCATCTTTCCCAGAGACCCAAGATGGCGAAAGAATAGGCAGGCTAGGATCAATAATGCCTAAATTAAAAAATGATTTCTTTTCTTAGTAGAAATACATTTCCAAGTATGTTTTTGGCTTTGTTTTGCTTAAATGGTTGCCACTCTTTTCAGCTGAATACTTGGACCACATCAAGTCAAAGAAAAGCCAACACGAACCGATAAAAGTACTCGATTTGTGTTGTGGAAAAGGAGGTGATTTGAATAAATGGCACAAAGGCAATGTGTCTCATTTAGTATGCGTGGATATAGCTGAAAATTCAGTCATCTCAGCTCAGAAAAGGTACAATGATATGAAATCTAGGAACTACAGGATTTTTACTGCTGAATTCATTGTCGCCGATCTCACAAAGGTGACATTGCTATCATTAAGTATATTTAAGATATTAAACTGTTATTTTGTTAAAACTTGTATAACTTAAATTGAACCATTTGTTAGGAACGTGTCTGTACAATGTACAAGGACCCGAAAATAAAATTTGACATCGTGAGTTGCCAGTTTGCATTTCACTACTGCTTTGAATCACTGCAGCAGGCAGAAATGATGCTGAAGAATATCACTGATAACCTTTTGCCCGGCGGTTATTTTATCGGAACAATTCCGAACGCTTTTGACATTATGTAAAATAACGATACATTCTGTTGCTTCGAGTCGGCAAATATGTTTATCCGTTTGTTTTTTAATTCAGTGCAAGGAAGCAAAAGTCCAAACAAAACTGGTTTGGAAACACAGTTTTCACAGTGACTTTTGAAGATGATCTTCCCCAGCCTTATCCACTATTTGGCGCTAAATACAATTTTCACCTCCACGAATCTGTCGACTGCCCTGAATTCTTGGTACATTTTCCAACATTTGAAAGGTAAAATGATTTATTTATTTTTGTTGACATTCTCTTACCTTATTATTTTTTTTAGACTGGCAGCACGATTTGGTCTCAAGCTTGTAAAAAAGAAAAGATTTCAAAATTACTATGATGAAATGAAACGAAGAGGGCAGATGTTATTGAATCAATTAAACGGTTTAGAGGTTAATTCAATTCTTATCCAAATTAAAAAAAAACAACTAATTTTAATTAATTTGTAGACATATCCTCCACTATCAGGAGTACCACTTTTGGGGCCAAGAGCTGACTATTCCCACGCAAAGGAATATTTTAAAGAATTTCCTGGCAAAAAGCTGATTGGGACATTATCTCAATCTGAGTGGGAAGTCTGTTGTAAGTTATATTTTATTAAATATTTTTTATTTTGTTTTACTGGAATAACTTACAGTCTTTTGATGTGTTAAAAACATTTTTGATTTTATGATTTTTTCCTTCTTTGTGACCCACCACACACTACAAAATTTTAGTCACCTAAAATTTAGTTTCTTGCTCAGTAATAATTAACATGTTGACTGTCCTATGCTTAGCCATTTTAGTTGCTCATAGTGGAACCAAATTTATCATGCATAATAGCTCTCTGGAACTTAAAAATAAAGTAAAAGATTTATTTTTATTATGTTTATCTATTTGTTTGTGTGAATTGGTGATGACGGAATACCGAGTACCTCATTGGCCCTCACCGAGTATTGAGGGCTGAAATGACTCTATGGTATCCCTCAATAAGGAAAAAAAATAAAGTACTGGAGTTTCTTCAATAAATCTACACATACAAGTACTATTAAAATTGGACAGTTTTTGCACTACTTTCGTTTACTAGTGCGCATGGTTGTAACTTGTAACCCATGTAGGATTTCGGCTGATAGCTTAATCTGTAGTGTGTGGTGGGGCCCTTGTGGTGTAGGTTTGGTGATTTAAACCTTTAAATTAGATTAAGGTTCAGCCTTTTTTATTTTGAGCAGCATTTCATCAATTTTTTTTTACTTCTGTTTAACAATGATTACATTTTTAAATGAACAAAGATACGAGAAAAGAGAGAATAACCGAATTGGCTTAACTCACACAAACCTACAATATTATTATTAATTTATTTAAATTCTTTATGTTGCCCTGAAACAAACGTATTTTTCATATGGACATAAAAAAGTTTTAATCTGTTTTTATTTTTTCCAGCATTATATATGATTTTCGCTTTTCAAAAAGTTGACCCGAAAGAGTTGGTCGAAGAAAAACAAAACACATAAAAACTGGTATTGCACAGTTATAGTTAATTTGAATAATTAAGGTAAACAATATAAGAAAAGCATAACTTTTGAAGACACTTTTATAAAACTAAAAATCAAACATTCCTCTTGACTTCAAAAAAAAAATTATTTGTTGAATACTTTCGAGGGTTTACATTATAAATTGCGTGAAGTTTCTTTTTTCTCACCCATCCCACTCACATGAGTTATTTTACCATTGACAACATATAAGAAAAAAATTGTACAATCTCTGAGATCTGTATATTTTTAATATAACGTTTGTTTTTAATTGTTATTTTATAATGACCCGTGACCATTATTTTGAATCGATTTTCCTCGTTTTAACTGTGGCTAGTGTGGCAGTCAGTTCTGTTCAACCACTGTGTGTAGATTTAATTTATGTTAACAACTATAATTTTTGTTTGTATTTTTTTAATTAGAAATGTTTTTGAAAATTTAAACATTGTTTGGATTATGTTTACTTTTCGTTTATTTATTTTTATTATTGTCATAATGATCTGGCATTGATTACAATCAAAATTGACAATATTGTTAAACTGTGTTTCAATAAATTAATAATGAAGTATAAAAATTATGTTTGAATTTTTTTTTTTGGATTAACAGAATATTAAATGTTATTTTGTTTGAGTTATTTTTTAAAATATTTTGTCATTTATTTGATCCAGCAAAATACGGGCAAATAATTAAATACTAAATTTTGTGTACTATATTGTATTTGAAAAAGACAATGCACAATTGTAATTCAAATATATTTTAAAATGTATTTTAAACTGAGAGGATTTAGGATGTATTAACTAACTGAAGAAACAGAAGAACATCTGTTGATGTGAAGACCTATGTGAGCTGAGATTCCTACTCCTGCAGGAGAGGAAAAGCCAAAGCCTGAAGTATACATACAGGAGCCTTTTGTATCTGATAAAAAGCCTTATGCTTAATGAAAGGCTCTAGACAATGTTGGAGAGCAAAATAAACCAATTTTGTCAGAGTGCGCAAGGCCATCTTTCTTTTAACCTTAACCATAGACTGAATTATTAACCCAATTTTTATATCTACCAAGATTGGAATTGACTTAAATAAAATGCCTGCTTCAAATTTTGACCAAAAATACATTATATTTTTCGTAATTTTTATGATTTGAACTATTCCTCCTCTGTATCGCTGTCGTCTTGTTTCTTAACCTTTTTTTCTGGTAAGAAAGCAATGACTGCTTCTGCGGCGGTTAGAAGAGAAGCAACCCCTGCTGCGTCTGTAGTTGCTGTCCTTACGACCTTTGTAGGATCAATTATTCCTTCTCTGATCATATCTACGTATTGTCCAGTGACAGCGTTGTAACCCATATTTCCTTGAAGTTCAGATACCTGGTTTTTAATTAAAAAAAAAAAAAAAATCAATACGTAATTAAGTTTAGTAAAGTTAAAACTCACTTTGTTAACTACAACTGAAGGCTCCACTCCGGCGTTTTTTGCTATTGTGTAACAAGGCATTTGCAAAGCTTTCATGATAATTTCTATCCCTAATAACACATTAATGTAGTTTTGTTTTTTTGAAGTTGAGTTTATTTATCAAAATTTTACCCTCCTTCAATTCATCATTGGCTGGCGTCAGCTGTTGTAGCTGTTCGATGCATCTGATCAAAGCCGTTCCACCTCCAGCTACGATTCCTTCTTCGACGGCGGCTTTTGTGGCGTTGAGAGCATCGGTAACTCTATCCTTTCTTTCGTTTATGTCCAACTGTAAACTCACTTTTTATTAATCTTCTGAAGATTCCAGTTTTGAAAAGTAGCGTGATTACATCAAAATGAAGTTAGATTTATGTATATATAAAAAAAGGAGTTATTGTTGAAAAATGCGTTACCTCACTATGCCCTCCAATTTTTATAACAGCCACTCCTGAAATTAGTCGTGCTTTTCTTTCTTGGAGGCCGTCCCTTATAAAGTTATTTTTTGCCTTTTCAATGAGATAGTTGATAATTTCCACTCGCATGTCAATATCCTTCTGTTTTCCATGTCCCTGTTAACAAACACTAGTATTGTTAGAAAGAAATTGCATGGAAAAGTATGAATATTTATAGAAAAACAATGTTTTTAAATCATTCTAGTACACTTCTGGCAAAGAAAATTTGTATATTTAAAGTTTTAAGGAGAGTATATGTCTCATTAATGTAATATGCTTGCCCTGAAGGCAGGTATGACAATAATTAATTATATATTTTACTTGCTTTTAAAATTAATGTTTCTTCGTTTGTACAAATAATTTCATCTGCTTGGCCAAAGTGTTCTAATTTTACGTCTGCCAAATCCAAATGAGAATCCTCAGAAAAAACATACCCACCTGTAATATCAATGTTTCAAATCATGAGGAATATAAGATTTGGTATCAATGTTCATTTGTTAATGAGCTTAATTATTGAGAATATGTTGGGGTCTGCAGTGTTGAACTTGTAGCCTAATTGTTCTAATGGACCAGGAGGGCACAGAGAGGTAACACAATTATTATTGCTTGTTTGGTTTTCAGACATGTTTAAGCATTTTGTAGCCAAGTTCTGTATGTCTCACTTTTACATTTTATCAATATTTTTACAGAACGCCATAAAATAAATAAAATAGGCAGAAGGTGCGCTAGTTGGCACAATTACTCTGAATTCAAACCCAGCGTATTTAAAAAAATTTTTTCTTTAAACACCGGCAGAACACAAAAATTAACAAACTAAACAGGCAGGCCAGTATGATCAAAAATGATCAAACTATAGGTTTAGCAAGTTACAGAATTCAACAGAACATTTTCTATTCTTTACCTGTAGCAGCTGCCATATCTTTTAAAGATTCAGTGCGACCTTCCCCAAAACTTGGTGCTTTAACACCACAAACCTCAAGGTTCGCTCGTAATCTGCAATTTTTATGGTGTTGATAAAATAGAGTTGGCCATGGTTTATAGAGCATTGTTACAATCAGATAAAAAATTGGATTTAATAAATTTTCTTTTCTCACTTATTAATTACTAATGTCGTGAGGGCATCTCCTTCAATATCTTCGGCTACTACAAGAAGCGGTTTCTTGTGTTTGACAGCAAGCTCTAGCGCTGGCACTATTTGCCTCATCTGTGACAATTTATAATCACAGAAGAGAATGTAAGAATGTTGGAATTCAACTTTGGAACCTATAAGAACACAATATTAATAAATAAATAATAGCGATATTATTAATAAATATATACAAACTTTTTTTTGTATTAACAAAATATGGGGATAAGTAACCATGTTCAATATCTAAACCTTTTATGACTTCAACTTCATCATAAAGGGTCGTTCCTTCTTTAACAGTAATGACACCATTCTTTCCTACCTGTTTCAAAATACAGACAAATATTTTTAAATGCAAACAGAAAATATTGTGAATAAGCTAATAAGAAAGATCTTCAATTCTATAATATGAAAAATGTTAATTTTACTTTTTAAACAAATAATTTTGCTTGTATATAAAGAATATTTCCATATCTAATTAGGCAAAAATAAATTTTAAACATTTACAAACCCACCTTTTCCATCGCTGTTGAAATGAGTTCACCTATTTCTTGATCTCCATTTGATGATATTATTGCAACTTGTCGGATTTCCTCGGGTGTATTTATTTCTTTGGAAATATTTCTCAAATGTTTTACAACAGTGTCAACAGCCATCATAACTCCTATAAAATAAAATAAAAATAATTAAATAAAAAATTATATGTAAATGCAGGTCACCTTTTCTAATTTCACTTGGATTTCCTCCTTTCTTTATTGAATTCATGCTTTCTTTTGCAATGGAACACGCAAGCACCTTAATTAATCATTAATTACTTTAATTTTATTGTAGAAAAAAATTAGGAGTAAAATAATTTACAGTTGCCGTTGTAGTGCCATCACCGGCTTTTTTGTTTGTATTGTCTGCCACCTCTTTAACAAGGCTGACACCGATATTTTTGAACCGATCCTTTAGATCTAGACTTTTGGCTACTGTCACGCCATCTTTGGTTATTTTCGGCTCTGATTTATATTGTTCCAGCACCACATTTCTTCCCTGAATTTACAATAAATTTAATTTAAAAAAATTACCATTTTACGATAAATGTACCTTTGGTCCCATTGTCATGCCAACGACATCGGCAAGAATCTCGACTCCTTCCAACATCATAGAGCGTACTTCTGGCCCAAATTTAATTTCCTTTGCGTAATACCTTATCGTGTTTCCATGTTTAAAATATGTTTGATTCTTACCAACATTTGTTATCTACGGCCCAAAAGTGTCTAAATATACATGTTTCTTGAAAAGTTTTTATTATTTATTTATTTACAAATAAATTTAAATAGAAGTCGGAATTGGAGTAAATGTTTAATGGCAGTTTTTTTGCTAGCCTCAGTGTACAACTTTCTAACATTTTAAGATTGACATTGAGAAAACCTTTTTTTATTTTAATTTCCTTAATGTTTTAATGGTCTTACCAGAACTTTTTCAAAATTGTTTCACTACTCAAAAAAAGTATCAACATGTTAGACCTATTAATACAAATAAACTTACATTTAGCAGAAAGAAACGTTTTGGAAAAGTAATTGTCCTTAACATTATTGGTTTGGATATTATTGGCTTCTCAAGTTGTAATTCACAAAATAGTCAATAAATGTAAAGTTGATTCCTATTTAATTCAAAAAACTTAAAATGTGTTATAAAAATCTTTCATCAGCTGAATTTCAGTTATTTGGAAATTTATTCATTAAAAACAATTAAATGTTTATATTTTGCAGTTTTCCTAAAAGATTCGTGATATTTTAAGACTCAGGAATTTTGTAGTTGCCTTTGTAAGAAAGACATCTCTCAAATACCAAATATTTTTAATAGTTGCTTTCTTCAGAATCTGCCAATCGAAATTCTAAAAATCCTGCATAATTGTTTTAAAAATAAATTGCTTAACTTCTTGGCTTATAACATTAATTTTGTTAATTAGAAGCTGTATTAATGTAGCTGTTATGAAGTATGATGTGCAAATATGTGGTAATACCTAATTACTAACTATGAGCTAAAGTCTCTATATTTTTATTAAATTTTGAAAATTATTCAGCATATTTTGCATGGTAGGATTATATATAAAATGGTTCTTGTATATGATAGATCTTGATGTGGAAAATATGTATGCTGTTACATTTGCTCATAAAGTAAATCCTGCAGACTCTTCAATTTCAATACAATATAAATTTCCCATATAAATATAAATTTTCCCATTTTGCTGCGTATGTATCGCTCATTCTGCCCAATTTAATTTTAACGTTTTTACTTCCTGTGCTTCTGTTTTACTTCTTATTATCGCATTCTTTCTCCAGTCCTTTTTTTCTCACTCCTAGCACACTGAGTTGATCTACATCTATTCTGTCAGCGGCCATGTTTGTGATCCGTATGTCAAGCATATCAGGGCTAGTGGATCTCCATGTTTAGAATGTTGCAACATTCAAAAATATTCACCTGTTGTATCCATGTACACTCTTGATTAGGCATTTTACCATCTTCCCCAGAGACCCAACATAGTGAAATGCTTAAACATATCAGACAGACTAATTCAGCAACATATCAAAACGATCTGTAGTGACCAAATTACCAATAATAGCATAAATGATGTATGACATGCCTACTCACTTTCAATAAAGAACTAAGGTAATGTGGGTAATGTTCTCATTAAAAAAAGTCAACAAAACAGGCCAACTTTTAGAAACAATTACTTGTTCTTTCATGTCTAACGAACACGACTAAGGTTTAATAATGATAAAATATAAAAATAAAAAAATAGCAACACGAGTGGACATGGGGGGGGGGCAAGATTCCCCATTAAAAAAATTAAATGAAGTTGAACCCCGGGCATGTTTCCAGACTACAAAACAATAGATGGTCAAAAATAACAACTGATTGGAAGACATTGGTCCAAAAGAGAGAAAAAGGACACCAAAAAGTAAGGAGTTGCATATTAAAAACTGCTGGTCAGTCTAGGTAACTGGATCAAAATTCAAAAATTAAGAAAAAACTGTGGTGTATAAATTTATGTATTATAGATCTAAATAAAAGAGGTTATTATATTGAGTTTGAGTCACCTTTAAATACCTAATGGATCAATATTTTGGCCCAAAGAAAGCATCAAGTTTCAGCTGTATCTCATTCTGAATCAGGCCTGATTTATTCTTCTCTGATCCATATCCTCTCAAGGGCATGAAATTTACCAAAGCTTCTCTGCCAATCTTGTCCGAAGACTGCTTACTTTCATCATATTTTTTAATTTTCAGATTGATTTGTTGTTTACAGTAAAGGTCAGGTTGTTATAGTCACAGTTAGGGCAGTTTTTGCCTTTTGAATAGTTTGTGAACTGAAACAAACTGAAAATAAAGAAATATTGCAGAGAGAAAACAACCGAGAACAAGAAGACAAGGGTTATCAGGGAGCACAGATGGGACATCTTGCACACTCAAGGCAATAATTCACGATAGTTTCATGTGTTAAATCATTATTTTTTTAAATTTTATGAGAAACTTAGTATAAACTTATTAATAACCTGCTATGTTGAAAAAAAATTAAAATATAATTTTTATTATCACACAAAAACACAAGAAAAAGGGTGCGAATCCCACCTGTAACATAAATTTTTCATTTAGAAACAATTGTATAAAATTAATTGAGTATGTGTGTAATTAAGAATAACTTGATAAAAAATAATAAAAATAGATAAAAACTGTATATTTAAAAAAACAAAAACAGTTTACCAATTTTATTTCCAATAAAATTATATATATTCTACTTATTTAAAAGTTGTAGTAACTTGAAATGTTTTACAAATTTTTATTATTATTATTTGAAAATACACTATGTTATAAAAATACATAACAACAGTTTTTTTTAATATGGTATAAAACAAGATAAAACAGTCTTATATAAAATGGTCTCATTATAAAAGGAAATAATATCATTTAATTATATCACTTTTAATATCACAATCACGTATAACACAGAAATAGTAATAAAATGACAAACATGTAACTATTTAGTGGTTTTTCAGTGACTTTTAAGACATAGTTAAGACAGGTAACTAAAATTCAATTAACTGAAAACTTTGTTGACAAGAAAAAACAGTTGAGTATAAAAATATTAAAATTCAGAATATTATAAAAATAGTAAACGTTCCAAAACATGTTAAATGAAATTGGGTTGTTTTAAAGAACTATTTCAGTAAGTGGAGTGCCTGGATTCCACCTACGATTTCATCTTGAACTGACAAACCATGTTCGGCAGCAACTGATTCACAAACTGCTCTTTCGGCATACGTCAGACCAGAGGGCAAAGTCATTTTGGAATGAGGCCCTCTGACAAAATCCTTTACCACTTCTCGTGTCAAATTTTCAAATTCTGGCTCAACAGACTCGTCCTAAATGAGACAAAAGTAGACGGAATTAACAAATGACATTTTTATTGGTAGCCATTGATGAGCTCACTTTGACTTCACACATTTCTTTTTTATCAGGTTCTTTCTCAGTATTTTCAACGCTTTTTTCAAGTCCGAGGGCTTTTTTATAAGATATTTTTTCAAATTGGTAATATTTCTTTTGTTTTTCTTCTAACTATAATAATAAAAATAATAAATAGAAATAAAATGAATCACAATAAAATATGGAATTTTTATTCATGCCGATACTTACAATTAACAACGAATCATTTATTTCTTTACAGTTTGGCGCAAGGCCTAACGCTTTTTTAAAACTCTTTGTGGCTTTGTTGAATTCTTGCAGGGACATTTGAGCCTTGCCCAAGCTAAAAATTTCAATTTATCAGAATAACCAATTTGAACATGACCACAGATATTTTTTGTAAATTATTTACTTAAAAAAGAGTTTGGCATTTTTTGAAGCCTCCTTGGGTGCAGATTGAAATGCTTCTCTTGCACAGATGCACACTTTTTCAGGTATGTTTATTTTTGGTGTATTATAACATACCATAAGATTGACATAGAGCTTCAGTAACAAATGGCTCTGACGATTTTCTTCATCATCAGAGCTCATTTTGCAGTTAATAAGTAATCTTTCGGCTTTTTTATAACTAAAGAAATGAAGTTATTATTTTTAAAAAATACATTTAACAGAGAAACATACTTTTCAACTGCAGCGTTGAAATTTTTATTAGAGAAATAATCATTTCCAAGAGCATGGTAAGATTTTGCTTTTGAATACGCATGTTCAAACTTGCTCTTTTCATTGATCGACAAATTTTCATCGACATAGACATTGCCGCAGTCTACAAAATTAATCAGCTCAATTTCAACCAGTATAGTTGCACCTGAATAACAAAATTAAACGTTTCTTACAATGTTGCCAAAAAATAAAAAATAAACAAATAAAATAAAAATAAATCATGGCTTAAGAGGTTTTCACGATTTCGACTAACATGGTGGAATCCTAGGTGGAGCTCCCATTTTTCCAAATGCGTAAGTATGATCAATTAAAAACTGAGATTTTTCACCCTTTTTCATCGTACAAATACTCAGTTCAAAGCCTTCATAAACCACCTGTAAGCCTAATTGAAGCCTGAAAGGATGCTTCGAGCGCAAATAACTCGAATCAAAAGGAACCTCTTCTAATTCAAGGTAAGAATTATACTGAATATAAACAGCGGCATTAGGTGGCAGCTGGACAGTACCCTGCCTTAGAATCTGAAAATAATTAATAAATATTAATAGAATATATAGAGAAACAATAAAAAAAATAAAATACCTTCTTTTTAACTTTCCCATCATCGGTCACGTTTGTCATTTGTTGGCTTAAAATTTCAAAAGGTGATTTGTTCCCTCCTTGCGAATCTACTTGGATGCAATCTAAATTGATGTATGGAGCGAATTCATTATATTCAAAGCATTTTTCCATGCGACATTCCTCACTGTCTTCCTCTTCGTTAGCGTTTAAAGTGAATTCAGTTCCAGCCATCAAATCACTAAAAAGAACATTTTTTCATCAGGATTTCTAAATGATTTGACAATATAATACACGGTGATGAGGTTTACAATGTGATTAACAGTATTGATCCCTGATTGTCTATTCTGGCTGGTTTGTCATGGTTTCAATTAAAACACTTCAATACAGAAAAAAATTAATTTAATCTATCTGTGGAAAACGGAAGATGGAAAAATACCAAAACACGTGTTTAGACGGTCTGAGGTCTGTCCTACTGCTGAAGTTAGGCTCCAGGGGCTGTTAACAGGGTCATTTCAGCCTCCAACGTATCTGCTATTAAATCTAAACTCACTCACACTAATTGATGGTTTATGGAGTACTCAATATACCCATAATATTCATACTAATAAATATTCACTGAAAATTCACCTTCAATACACACAAAAAGAGAATTGACAATATGACGACTGACTATCTATTGCTTTGGCTACACCTATCGAAAGTGTTCCAACTTCTCACTATCTTCAGTGGAGGGTCTGTTGATGATGGAAAACTGAAATGGGTCTGACAGGACAATTGTATCTTAAAAAAGTACTATTTACAATAAAACAGCCCTGTTTCTTTTAAAAATTGGAACAGGGGATACTTGCTGCCTTGCTCAAGCACAATTCTCACATTGGGTGACATTCCTTCTTTCTATCTAAATCTATCTATATGTAGTCGAATGACTATCTTAAATTTTCCCACACTTTGAACTAACTTTCTCTACATGCTGAACACATTCGCCCAGAAGTAAGTGTCTATGTGACAACCTCGCATGGCCTACCCTTAATTGGATGAGGATAATCCCTCTTTTATGATTCAAAACCTCCGAGAGCCACCTATCACTGTGCTCTTGATACATAGAAACTTTTCATATAAGTTTAAATAGCGGTTTCAGAAACATTTTGATCAACTTATCCTCACTGTTTTAGTCAGCCAGACTTATTTCATCTTCTTTAGTGGAGGGTTTATGCGATGGTGAGAAGCGAAAATTCATCCTGACAGGCCAAAACAGCAAAGATAAATAACCAAAATGTAATGTCAAGCTGTGCTGCTTGACCATCTCTGGTCATCCTGGACCATCTAGTCTTGTATTATACTTAAACCATATTCAATAGATTCAATAACAACTCAACCAACTAGAATGCTACTGAAAAATGTCAAAACAATGAAAGTAAGCACACACACACTAAGATGATTGGACACGATCAAACCACAATATTGTGAAATTTGGCGACCTATGAAAGGCAATGGACTTCTCACTATCTTAAGTAGAGGGTCTTTGTGATGGTTGAAAACTGAAATGGGTCTGACAGGACAAACAACAAAGATAGGCAGAACAAAATGATTGTAAACGACCAAACTACATAATTACTAATGACACTATGTAGCTTGAAAATATCCGATCATTCTGGTCACCCAGTCTCACTGCATTGTAATTTGGCCATATTCAGTAAATTCATTCATTCACAATTGCTAGGGGGACTGCGGTAGCTGAATAGTTAAGGTGTAAAACTCTCGGCTAGTAGATCCTGTGGTCGCAGGTTCGATTCCCACCATCGCCTTTGGACTTTTTTCTGATGCCTACAGGTACTGGTGGCTGCAATGAAAATAGACATGGCACTCGTCAAAGTAAGGTCTGGGACGGGATCGGACCTCAGTGAGCCTGAATTTGGTCTCAACCCCCTTTGAAAATGAGTTTCTTTGATGGCAGAACACCGGCACACCGGGGGCTCAACACACGTATTATGAGCTCCCAAAAATGAAGCCAAGAAGGAGTACAATAATCTCTATAGAGCTGCAGTGCTCAGAAAGAACTCCAGTTCCTGGGTATCTATCACAATAAAATAATAATAATAATAATAATAATAATAAAAATACTTTTCTGAAATAAAAAAGATGGAACTGAAAAATGTGAAAACAATGAAAGTAAGCACACTAAGATGATTGGAGACGATCAAACCGCAATTTAGGAAAATGTGAAATTTGGTGTCCTAAGAAAGGCAATGAACATTGTACTTTATCATTTTGGTCTTTGCCAATGAACGTTGGCTATGCCGGTTGGAAGTTTTTTGGAAGCTTCTCACTATCTTCAGTAGTGGGTCTGTGGGGTAGTCAGAAACTGAAATGTGTCCGACAGGAGAAAGCAAAGACAGGCAAACCAAAATGATCGGAACTACCAAACTAAATAATAGAAATAATAAAGGTGGGGTGAGTATGTAGATTCCCTTTTTGTAAATTATGGTTCTACTCACAGAATTTGTTGTTCACCCTTTCAATTCACATCGAGAGACATGTTTGTACACCTAAAACCTGATGATGAGTGTTTAATGCTTGAAATCCAGGTAGTTGTACACAACAAATTCTGTGTGTAGAGCTATCATTTACAAAAAATAAAGTAAACTACATAACTAACAATCATTATGGCCCACATATTCTTGCGGTCTTTTCATTTGGCCATATTCAGTACTTTCAATAGCTCAACCAACTAGAATAAAATTGCAATATGACAAATCATGTCTGGCAAACCAATGAAAGTATGCGTAGTAACATGGTCAGACACAATCAAACCATGATATTGTGAAATTTGGTGACTTACAACCTTTATTCCAGTCAATTGTTTTGACTATGCCTGCCAGACCTGAAGAAACAAGAAATCAACCATTTTAGATGGTGAATGGATAAAAATCCAGATAGTGTATCTGTCCGGAATGATCAACCTTCCGAGTTATTTAAGTACATTTGATAATAATTATTAAAACGTTTCTTTAAGAGATTCCATTAATGGATTTCCCATATGAACAATTTGTCATTGAAGAACATTGGAAAAATAAAATAAATCATTCCTTCAAATTAAAAATATAGCTTAAGCACAAATAATTTTCTGATTAATTTTAAGATACTTTATACGTCTTAAATCCCTCAACAATTATCTCTTTTTTTGGTTACAAATTTCGAAAAAGGTGTCATAATTGTAAATGGTTTATTAAAAATAAATAAATAACCGGTTGGTGCAATGGTGTTTTTTTTACCTCAAGCTGAAACCATCGTCCAATTTACTATTCACCCCGAGATTTTCCATGTCATCCAATAAATCTTTATCCATTTTGGAAGATAATTCGTTGTCGGGTTTAGGGCTGACAAGACGATTAATTGTAAATTCGAAATGTGAAACTCCACTGAAATTCCCAGTTGAACAGGGCGGGTGAAGTTCACGAAGTCACAGGTTCATCATTTCTAAATCACAGGTTGTTAAAAATAAGATAGACGTCATTTTTCGGTAATGACTTTAGCTGTTATATTTTGGTGCAATCCAAGAACCGTGGTCTATGGAACGGAAAAGTATTGGCTTAGCCAATAACAAAATGGTCATACAATGTGAACTAAAGCCCAAAGAAGAATGAATTGTCTTCAACAACGACCTAGATGGGTTCTCTCTGAGAAGTGTATCAACACCCCAAACTGTGCACGAATTATTAGCAGAAGTCTCATTTTCTTTCTAATAAATGCCCATTTCCAGTGCTGACACAAAATAGAAGAATACCTTCACTGCTATATCAAGTCAGTTGAACTTTCACCGCTCTGTACTCTAAATCTAGAAAATGCCAGAACAGCGGATAACATGCTCATAAATAGATGTTGATGTGCAAGGATAGGCCATGCTACAACAGAAACTAAAGGCTAGTACACAATCATGGAGAAAATCATGCAAGTTATGTCTGTAGACGAAGTTCTGCGAATATCTAACAAATTACTTGTTCTGCAACTACCTGTGGACAAAAATCGCAAGTCTATGGTCTCCCAGCTTGGATAGAAAACTTGAACATCAACAACAGAGAAGATGGAATGTTTGGTCAGAATTTTTTTGCCTTATTTCTCATATTGGCCATGCATACAGAATCTGGTTACTTGCTTGCATAGTTTATTTCCAACCATAAATAGCGAATTTTCAAAATCCATGGTGGCTAACGGGGTGAAATTTTTGAAACCTGAACCAACTTCTAATTTTAATTTTTCAAGAACAGTCAATCCAAATGTAGAATCTGCTAAAACATTCCTTGTCCACCAGCATTTACAATTAATTTTCTTTTTTCTTCATAAAAAATTAAAACTGCACAAGCAGCAAAGCCCCAGGCCACTATCTCACTCGTCGTATTTTATTACGGAAACTAGTTTAACTTAGCTGTGCAGGTGTGGATATGTGACAAAGGTACTAGATCATCTTGGATTTGTTCCGCAGACAAAATTGGCAATTTGCCTACAGAAAGTCGCACGATTTTGTCTATAAGTGTGTACTAGCCTTAAGGAAGGATGTGATGTAGAGGTAGATTCCATACTAGGTACACCAGTCGATGCCTTTAAAATACAACTTCAACAACAAGTCGCTGAAGAGATTAAGTCTTGCAGATGACTCTTCCATGAATCTCTTCACATGCCTCATGCCTGGGTATTGCTCCACCAGATGTTGAACTCATTAAGCAACCATTTTTGGAAGTATACTTTTTTGTGACAAGGTGCTAGGCCGCAGTAGAGTTTGGGGCCTAGAGTATATTGGTTCATTTTTTGGCAAACATGCCAACTTTCTCATTGTCTTTATGTCCAAATCCAACCTATCCTTGAAACCGCAAAAACTCGATACAGAATTATAAAACCGTGAATCTCATCTCAACCATCTAGTTCAACACCATTCATCCCAAACCGTTCCAGTCAATCCTTGTAGGCGCCTAAAATACCAGTGGCATCTTGATTTCTTCCCCAGTGAGGAACGTGAATAACTGTGATAAGAGTGTAATTAATATATTTCTTCTTCACTCTTATATTGTTATAATACATAATTTATACAGCCAAAAGGTTGCTTGTAGTACTCTAGTAAAATATGGGTATCATTTAACAAACATACAGGAAAGTGAGAACACTCAAACTTGCAAAGTAAATAAAAAAGTATGCTGATAATACTTAGGAGGCAGGAATCAAAGAAAAGCATGTTCACTGGCCATTGTTCAGTAAATACCATATCCACTAATAAAATGGGTGAAAATCATAGAGATACTTGCTGACACTGGCCAGAGGAAACATAGACAACGAAATAAGTCCAATGAGGTAAAATGCACTTTACAAGGTAAACATGGAAGTATATAAAGATTTGGTTAGGGGGCTGTGGACATGAAGTTTCACAGTCATCAAATCAAAGTGTTAAAAATTTTTAAACAAGATTATTTTCCCAATATGTTATCCAAATCATAGAAATTCAAATACTTTTTTGTAAATAGAAAACCGTTTTTAATAATAAAAAATATTATATTGTGGTAGTCTTCATATTTCTTTCTTTGCAACATCTTGCTTTTGTTCATCCTTGCTTTCAAAAGTTCATATCAAAATCAACTTGGTCAGACTATATCCTATTACAAGAAGTACACAACATACACTTCCTATCACCACAATAATTATTGTGTCAATTGGCATCCAGTGATCTTCATGAGCCTGTGGAAAGAACTTTACTTAAGTAGCATTACTCATGATTTCTAATTTTAATTGATTAATTGAAATGATTCAATAGGTTGGGTTTGAATTTTTATTTACATGTATTAATTTACAATTACAGGGTTAATAGCCTATTTTACAAATGAAATACAAAATATAACCCATGAAAACATACTAAAATAAAGCAAAACATTTGTAAGCTACAAATATATAAAGAATAAATTAATTCCCAACAAATAATAAATTGTCTTTAAAATTTCTGATGTAGGATGTTTTCCAACAAGGTTATACATTGTAGAATAATAAGTAGAAACACACATGCTACTCTGTATAACCTATTATTCACAAGTTTCATACAGTATATTTTTTCATGTTCTAACAAGCTTCACAGAGTTCTGTGCATCTGCTCACCAACTAAACTACTTATTAAGTGTTTAGGGCTGTTCTTGGACAGAGAAAGGGGCCAAGGCATAACAAAATTCCTGATCTATTGTATAAATTTAAAACATGCATTTTGGGAACCCCACTCGTGACACTAACTTTTTCATTTCAACCAATACCTTACATAAAAAGAATAATTAATTGAAATAAGTAATTTGGTCAATTAGACCACTAAACATAAATGGATTAATATTTAATAAGTACATACATTTTGGAATTTTCATTAACAATCTCAATAATCACAAGTTTACTCTACAATATCGGACCGGTCTTATTCTCCCACAAACTCTAGAATCGCTCTTTCCAGAATTCCTTGTACAGTCTGAATAATATTTCTTTCTTTTTTGTGATTTATAGGATATTATGTCACCGCAATTCGTAGATGTAGCAGTCCTAAGTTTAGCTAACATTAACACCCCCAAGAAAAAAACAAAAGAGAAGACACCAAAACATCACCCTGACTGTATAACATCTTAGTAGAATAACAAGTCTGTATATAATAGGTAAACACTTAATAGTGGTAAGGCTATAACTTGCAACTTAATGTACAAGTTACATAACACTACTTATCAATTCTATTTCAATCTCTTAATACTACAATCTTAGAATCTTAATTCTCTACTTGTGAGTTCTGTTCAATTATCATCACCCAATATCATCGCTTGTACCTATTTAGCCACCACACTCCCTCTATCTAGCGCAAGCAAAAAAAAAAAAAAAAGTAGAAAAGCTTACGGTAAAATCCATATCTACAAAATTTGATTTCTTTCTGGATTCGTTTGAGGGTGAAGGCATTACCATTTCTTTAAAAGGATCTTTTACGATGGATTCATTTATGTGATAGCCCAGTTCGTCGAATACCGTTCTCGTGAGCCAGTTTCCAAGATCTTTTCTTCCAATTTGCAACAGCCGTCTTGAAAGATCGGCCTGTGTCTCGTCGGCAGCTTTAGAATTCCACTGGATCAAATTCGCGAGGCAAGACTGTAACATGCTTTCCATTGAAATGCATTCAGGCTCACAATCCTCAAGATTTTTGCCTTTGTCCATTTGAAGAGCGATGATGAGCTTGCTGCATTCGACTGAAGACAGATGGTCGGCGACATACTCGAGTTCAGCTAGTGTTATATCGCTTGTAGCAATAACATGGCGAAAAACAGCCAAAGAAACAAAAACCAAGATTGAAGCTAGAAATTTATTTGACATTTTAATTCTAGAGCAGCTGGAGAAAAAATGTGACAATTATTTAAAATTGAACTAGAATTGTTTGTGAACTCAATTGGTCTTATTTATGAGAGGTCTAGTATTGGACAATAGAGATTTTTATAATTTTTTTACATTAATCATGACCAATCGGAGATTAAAGAAGAAGTTTAAATTCATATAAAAAATTGTAATAGCGATAGTTTAATAGCACATATGAGTCCACTTCAGATTATGTAGTTCATATAACTATTTCTGATCATAAATTTATGCCAGAAATATACATAGTTTAATTGAAAATGCGAGTCTTTTCTACCAATTCTACCAGTACAAATTTTGCACCGAAAATTGCAGTAGAGGTAGTTTAAAAGCAAATGTGACTCCTTAAATTATTTACATTTTTACATATATATATTTATAACAATTTTTGTCCATAAATTTATACTGGAAATTGTAATAGACATAGTGTAATTGCAAATATGAATCATTTATACCAAACATCGTAATATAGTTTAAAAGCAAATATGTGTTCTCCCTTCTCAAATTATTTAGTTTTTATGATTATTTTTGTACATAAATGTATACCCAAAAATTGAAATAGAGATAGTTTAAAAACAAATGTGAGTCCTCCTTAAATTATTTAGCTTTATGAAACTATTTTGGTCCATAAATTTATATCAAAAATTGAATTAGAGATAAAAGCAAACATGAGTCCTCCTCAAATTTTTTAGCCTTATATAACCATTTTGTGCTTATATGAAGTTATACTTAAAATTGTAATAGTGATAATTTAAAAGCAAATATGAGTCCAATATTTAGCTTTATGTTATTGTTTCTGTGCATAAATTCACACCAAAAATTGTAGTAGAGAAACTTTAGAAGCACATATGAGTTTTTGTCTGCTCAGGTTTATATAACTATTTATGTGAATAAATTCATATATAAGATTCTAATAGAGATAGTTTGAAAGGAAATGTGAATTCCCATTCAGAATTTTTAGCTTTATGTTATTGTTTCTATGCATAAATTCATAAAAAAATTGTACTAGAGATTCATTAAAGCACATATGAATCTGTCAAATTTCTAAGGTTTGTGAACTATTTATGTGCATAAAGTTGTATCAAAAATTCTAATAGAGATAGTTTAAAAGCAAATATGAGTCCCACTCAGAATATTGCTATAAACAATATACTTTATGTTATTGTTTCTGTGCATAAATTCATACCAAAAATTGTACCAGAGATACTTTAAAAGCACATATGAGTCTGTCAGATTGTTAAGGTTTGTGTAATTATTTATTTGCATAAATTCATATCAAAAATTCTAATAGAGATAGTTTAAAAGCAAATATGACTCCGCAAATTATGTACAATCTTTTCAAATTATATACTACACACTAGAAATATTTTTGATTATTTTATTAATATAGCGATAAATGTGATCCAGTAGGTTTATAAGACCACTCTGTTTATTCATTTACTAATATATTTCTAATATTGTGTATCAATCATGTATGGACACTTTTTGGGTGGTTTTGAAAAACTTGGAAAAAAGCACGTCTTGCTGTAAGTTTCATGACGTCATTAACGTATTAACTAGAAATATCTTCTTCAGTCTCTTTTAGTGTTATAGTTATAACAGTAAAGGAAGTCAGAGGTGGTTCATCTTCACTCATGTTTATTTAGTTCTTTTCTTTCCTGTCAAGATAAAATTTCATAGCTCATGATCATGTTTTGGTTGAAAAAGGTCGTGGGTCTCGCCGTTCAGACACCCCACAGTGTTAGAAACGTGTCGAGCACGTCGCCGGTTTTCGTCCGGCTCACGCCTGCTCTCTTGGCCGAGCCGTTGAAGAAGAAGAAGAAACTCGACCCGGCGATTGTAAGGCAAAGGGAAGAAAGGAAAAGGAAGAAGATCGAGAAGCAGATCAGGCGGCTGGAAAAGAACTCTAAGCAGCTCAAGCCGATAGACGAGTGCGAGGTACCCACGGAGATCTTAAAGGACCCGACTCGACAAAGGGTCGTCTCTTTGTCCCAAGAGACCAAGTACCAAAGGTTGGAAGTGTTCAAACAATGGAGCGCCTACAGGCGGCGTCAGATGCTTAGAGATGTCCAGATGTTCGACAGGATATTGTACTCTCAGCAAAAGGCCCTGGACGAACTTAAACTAGAGTCGAAAGAACTCTATGATGAGGCGATTAAGTTCGATGAGAACTTAATACCGTTCAAGTGCCAAGGACCTGTCGAAACGCCACCTATCAACAATTACGATAGTCCCGATGGTGAATACATCGATATTTCCAAAAAGTGGACCACTTAAAATGCTACTGTATATACTATTAGTAATAAGTAATAAATTGTTAATAATTAAATAAATACTATTGTTTTATTCCAACAATATTGTATTCTCGCCAGGGCCTGTTTTCCCATAAATTATGAAAATTTTCGCACAAAAACAAAACGTAAAATCATTCAATCTTGTGGCAATTATATCACTATGATGAGGGCAATAAAAATGAAGATTAATATAGTAAATTAATATTTAGTTAAAATTTGAAAATAATGGATAAAAATGACTAAAGGATCAGTATTTCGTGATCAGTAAGGATCATTTCAGTTGTAGCTTTTTTTCCACTCATTTCCATACAAATATGTATTCTCAGTCATCAATGTTTTGGTGATTATATCACCATTGTGAGATCTTAAAAACTTGGATAAACTAATGCATAAAAATGTCTAAAAGATCGGTATTTTGTTGTCAGCATGAGCATTTGACCACTCTTCCAGTCAACTTTTTTCATATCATTCAACAAAATATTTCATGTGAGTTATACAAATGAAAATAAATCGGGATGATAGAATAAAAATAAACTTATTGACTAGATAATAGTCATAATGGCTCAAGTGGTTAGGCTGAAGGTCGTTGGTTCAAATCCAGCTTGTGACCCTAACTTTTTTATCTCAACCAGGACCTTACATAAAAAGAATAATTGATTGAATTAAAAACTTAGGTTGATAAAGTAAATATGTAAAATTGTGTAAAAGACCAGTATTTGACCATTTGACCATTCTTTCCTTCAGCATTTTTTCATATCATTCAACAAAATATTTCATACATTCAGTTATAAAAACAAAAATAAATCAGGATAATAAAATAAAAATAAACTTTTGGTAAAATTAGAGAATCATGCATAAAAATGTCTAGAGGACCAAGATCATAAAAATATTCCAGATTCTCATAGTTATGGTGATTATATCAACATTTTGAAAGGTTATAAAAACCAAAGAACAATAGATGAAAGTTATTTAGTGAAAGTTGGAAAATGATACATACAAATTTTCAAAATACCAGTATTTTGTCGTCAGCATGACCATTTGATCACTCTTTCATCCACTCTTTTTCATATCATTCAATAATTAGTTCAAATTTTCATACTGTCGACAATTATATTACTGTCATGATAGCTACAAAAACAAGATCAATAAACTAAATATAAACTGTTGTTAAAATTTGAAAATGATGCAGTACAATTAATATTCAATTAAAATCAGAAAATAACAAATAAAAATGTCTAAAGGACAGAATAATTTGTTCACTGCAGGATTTTCTTTCATACTTTTTTCATCCAACAAAACTATACAAATATTTCAGATCCTCAGAGTTACGACATGAACACAATAATATTAATACATATTAATAATATATTATGCATAATAAAAGTTTAATTAGAAAAGAATTGATGATTTTTCTTGATAGTATAAACAATGCTGATTATATATCCCTCCATTGAATACTGTATCCCTGGAAAGTGGTTTTGTCATTCATATCGGAAATAAATTAATTTTCATGTAGCTAAGGAAAAAATGACAATTTTAAGAGTTAAAATAAATTGACGTGGCAACACATCACGTTCAATCTTGAAAATAATATTTTATCATTTTACTTATGGTTAATTGGAATCTACACTCCTTAATTTTCTGGCAGGACCACTCCTTGAGTTTAAGTTGAAAAAAGCTTGCACAAATCTGTATGTCTTCTGAAGTATGATAGTTTTTCCTTTAAGAAAGTAGTCCAACTTAAAAAAAGTCTTAAGTCTGAAGGTGCATGGGAAGGACTAAGTAGGTGTAGAAAGAATATCAATTTTGAAAAATTTTGCTTTGTTTGTCAAGTGTTGTGAGTTATTGTCTTGAACAAAACTTTCTACATATTCAGCATAGACCATACTCAAGAAAATATTGTTCTGCATTGACAAGAACTCTCTTCTGGAATAAATTATAAATTCACATTTCAAAAAACCAAGAGAGTGCAAACTTGTTTGCCAATGTTACATTTTTCAAACTTGCTTGCTCATTCATTGAATACTTCTTTTCAAAAAACATCTTTGTAATATATTAATGAAAAAAAATTGAAAACTAATGCTGTTACAAATAAATTCATCTATTTACTGTCAGTTTCTGTCATCCCACGCTCTGACCCATTTCTCCTCTTAATTCTAACCTACAAAGTCTCTAACCTACAAGATTTGTATTAATTTTCTATTTTACACAAGTTGGTTTAATAACTATAAAGTTCTTATATTTGGTAAGATAAAAAGGTAAAACTCAGATCTTTGGGTGCTACTACTAGTATAGTTAGAATATGTTTTTGCTTTGCATACCTCAGATGTTGAAGTTCATATGTGTAAATATTGCCGACTTTTCACATTAATTGAAACATTTATCTTGCATTCTCTTATCAAACTGTTCTTGTTCTTTTAATTTTAATGTTGTAATAAAGACAAATTTTTTTTAGAATTTTCATAGTAATTCATAGTGAACTTGAAACATTTGGTGGATGTAAACAACCACAGGAAAGTGAGAAATAAATATACTTTATTTCATGTCAATGTTTCAATGATTTATTTTCTATTTTATGGCTGGAATCATCTATAAATGGCTCAATGTAACAAACAATTAAATAATGCTAATAATAATAAATTAAATAAACAATTAAAATATAAAATAAATATATTAACCATCCTCCAACTGTTAGAAACCGTTAAAAGAAACCATCTAATTTATAGTAGACTGGAAGTTTCTCTGATTCTAATTTCTGTCATTTCAAGCCTTGACTTCTCATCCTGGTGTCTCACCATACATTTTCGCTGAACTTAACTTTGATGATCGAGCTTGCTGCTTATTTAAACAATTAAGAACTATACAAAAATCAGAGTATTACACATACAGCAGTCACAGATAGAGAGTTAGCCACATAAACATACACACATTTTTTAAACGTAGGTCACATGGCATCTCCAAGGATTCTGATTCTTCTTCACAGTAACAAAACAGTAAGATATAAGGATTATATTGGGAAAGAGACAAAAACAAATTCATAAGTGAATTACAGTTTTATTGGCATCTTTTAAACAAAGATTTTTCACTTCAAAACTAAGTTAGGAATGAATTCCAATTTAAATATTTGATCTCCCCCCTCCTAATATCCCTGAAAAACCCATTCATCCCATCCCCGTAACAACGCCACAACTGATCGGTGGCTTTTAATGTTCATACCTACTACATAAAAGGCACACTTAGCTTTGAACAGCAAAGAATTAACAATGAAAGTGGAGAAAATGGAAATTAAAAATATAGATGTTCATTTCAATTTAACAATTGATACAAGCGAGACAATTTTCTTTAGACGCTTTTCATTTTCATTTTTTTTTTTTAGTTGAAAGAAGTGAAAAAATGTGAATGCTCTCAAATATATGATTAAGATATATAATGATATATAATTTTACTATTTATATATTTATATTATATACAGAATTATGATATAAACGATTGAAAAAATCCTAAAACTCATTTCTTTCTTCAATCAGAAACTGTAAAAACTGTATACTATGTACATTCTGAAAACTTACATTATATCCTCAATAATTTATAATTGATGGTGACTAAAATGCACCCGTGTTCCCAATATGCACCAGACTTCAAAGTTGGAAGGTTTATGAAAGAACGACAATTCCTATATTTATAAGCTTTTAAGCTTTTTTTTCATGTCCTTATCTTGAACTTACTATGCAACAATAAACCTTAACAAAAAGCAAATCAAACTACAAAGTACAATATTTCTTTAAATAATGTTTTTTGGTAACATTTTTTTGCAGTGTTTGAATCTTGATTGAACAATTAACTTTTTGTTACGATAATTTAATTTTTTGGCACTTAATCATACAAATAAATAATTAGACATGTTGGAATAAATCTCAGTAAGTAGAAATAAGCATAAGAGCATTATAATTATATAAATGCAGATGAACAAGTTTTATAAAACTTTTCATCAATAAATTTATGAATTTTTGGAGTACAGCAAGAGCCGAATCGGTTTCGATGATTTTTTAACATTTCTCAGTGCTTTAAACTTTGAGCATATGACCAAATAACTTTTATTTAAACAATTTTGATTGACAATAATTTTGATTATTTTTAATAAAATGTTATAATTTTATTAAGGACGGACTTAATTACACATTACTAATCCTTTCTCCCTCTCCGTTGAATGAGTAGCTTTTTATTTCAAATCGACAAATAATAAATTATACCTTAACTAATTTTGCAGCAAAAATATATATTAAGTATTTCATCTAACATTTAAATGATAATATTAAAAAAATCTAACTGAAGAAATAAGGGCATACACATTTCAGCTGTAAGCATTAATTAGTCATTTCCAGCAATAAAATGCAACATTTTGCCTTCTATAATTTTTTATGGGTCTAAGTATAACAATATTAATCAATGTCTGGAAAAAGATTTAATTTTATAAAGCAATTGTCCAATCAATTACAAGAAACACTGCCTCTTACACCACTAAAAAATCAATTATACCAATTTAGATAAAAAATCTATTATTTTTTTAAGCAAAGTGGAAATGCAAATACATTTGCAACTCCAAAAATTTGTACCACTTGTCTTTATAAACATTTTACACACATTTTATTCAAACAATCAATGGTTTTTTAATTAATTCTTCGTTTAGAAAAACCAACAAATTTATGTGTAAAAGTGGTTTAAAGTAGTACACTTTTTAAATCCTACTTACTTCAATATATATATAATCTATATATTATATATATACTTATATAAATTTTTAAGTGCATGAGCATATAATTTATGTAAAACAAAATATGAATGAGCGCAAATGAAGGGAAAGCGTTTTTTGTTTTTATTTTGAAAGTTTTAAATGCCACTCCCCCCCTATGTTTATTGCTCTCTGCTCCCTTTCTTCTAATTTTTAACTATTCTAACCAATGAACTAAAGATCACAAATGTTCTTAAGTAGAAAGGCTCCCTAATCGAATACGTCCTTGTTTGTTTCGTTATAATTTAATTTCTGATGTCTACTGTTAAAACTATAAAAATAATTATGAAAGGGAGCTAAAATTTAATGGAATATCAATTTTTTTCTTTTTCATTACTGTATTATCCTATTTGTTATACCAGAATCTATATAATAATTCCTCTCTGTCTAATCTTCCCCCAAATTATTATAGTTATAAAATAGGCACATTTATAAAAATGTCTTCTAATATATTATGAAATCTCTCCATTTTAGTAAATATTATTTAAGTAAAAAGTGTGAAAATATTTGTTACAAAGGTTTTAAAATTTTTTCCTTTTTGACTTTTTTGTATTTTATTATTTAAAAATTCTCAATATATAAATGTATTAGAGTAAGTAAAATAATTTGTGCTTTTTTTTTACACAGTACAATAGTTATAGTACAATGGCCTGTTTAGGCAATATTATATTGTATTGATATTTAAAAAACAGACACAATTCTTTAAATTTTATTTTTCAGAAACACAAATATTAGGGTTCAACAATCCTCTTGCACGAAAGGTGGCCCAATTTTTTTTTTCTTCAAAAGCAATGTTTCTTATTTTTGACAGGTTTATTATATGTCTATGTACAGTTAAGATAAATTAATAACTAACAAATCTTTGAGGTTGTAGAGGTAAAAAATTGTCATATTTCTCAAGTGCAGCTGATGGTGAATAAGAAATTGAACAATTTTTTTTTCAAATAATCAATTTATAATTTCCCTAAATACTTAAAACTAAAAACGAAATACACCTTTTAATCAATTCTTTGCATGGCAACGACCAATTGGTCACAAGTCTCTTGGTTTATTTTTAAATAATATTTCTACAAACCACAATAATTAAATTAAATTAACTTATGCAATTAAACAATGAATTTTGATGAGTCAATTATGTACTGAGGGCCAAAAGAAATGAAAAATAAATTTGGAAATTAAGACAATTGGTGGCCCTCTTTATGAAATTGAGAGACTCCCGAGGTTGAAGATGTCATCTAACCCGGATACATATCAAGTCCTCACATTTCGCTAATTGACACATTCAGAAGAGGCTAGCAACCGTGGACAAAGGCCACGCAGGGCCTGCTACTACGTTAGCAGCTTGAAGAACATTATAGCGAGGGATATGTTGACGAATAAAACTAGCATCACAAGCTGCTGCCTTGAAAACCATTCCTGAAAAAAAAAAGTTTATTATTTATCAATTTCTTTATAAATAAAAAAACATTAAGCTTAGGGTGGTTCATAAATGATGGTTCATTAAGGAATTGCTTTTTTTCAAGATAATTGTATTTTAAATTGTAATTCAATGTTTGAAAAATCTTTCAATTTTCAAGAAGAATTTGAAAAAGCCTTGTTACAAAATTTATTACAAATAATATAAGAAATTTGATGACGTCTTCAAAGCAATCGTGTATTATCCTTATCTTCCTATCTTGATGGTTTGCAGACAGAAATGTTTCTGTATTTTGTCATTGTGGTTGGTCTGTTATTTAATCAAAATGTGAAAGCACCACTGACCATCCAGTGAGGATGATAGAATGACAGCTGACAGATTAAAATCCAGGATGCTTGAGGACGTTCAGTACAATGCAACTGTTAAAGCAATATTTACACAATTTTTAAAACATTTTTCAGGCCGTTTAAAGTATACAATTTTTTAGACAAATGCAGTTTAAAGGGATATTTTAATTTTTATCCAAAAATCAAAGGGAACAGATTGAAATTTAAGTATAAAGAATTGACTGAGAACTATTTGAGAATTTGTCTTGTCTCTATCTTGAAATAGAGGAAAATATCTCACATTTAAATGACTAATAATTAAATAAAGTTTTATCATGTATTTTAAAAATTGGTTCTAGTCCTGTTTTATTTTCATAGTTAATTTTTGAAAGTAATAACGTTGCGAATAACAAGATAAATTGTGAAATATTGTTGTGTGCATGGTGATGTCTGATATTTGTCAATAGCTTTATCATCTTGGGTTGCCTATTCTTGCATATTTGCCTGTCAGGCGTGTTTCACCGAAGATGGCAACTTGTTGAAACACGTTTGACAGACCATTACAACAATATGCAGATCAGGATGATCAGAGCAAGCTATGAACAAACAATACACTTATGTTTATTATAAATGTAAGTTTTTGTTTGTTCTGGCAAGAAAGATGTATACTACCTTAACATGAGGGCTGACAAGGTATAGCAGGGGATTTGCGCGCAGTTTCTCTGCCTCATCTTGCATTCGACGGACTTCTTCCCTTCTGGCTGAGCTGAGAACAGACACTTCTTCCCTCGACATTGCCTCCATTGCTGATGGCAGACCTTGGACGTCTGGTAAACTCTTTTTCCTTTGAAGTGACACGTTCACTGGAGGAGCCTAAAATGGTTGGTGATTTCATTAAAATGATTATTAAAAAATAAGAAAATATACTTTTTATTTTATTTTAATAGGACTTGAGGGGTTGTAATGAACCTTGCTTTGACAAAATGAAGTAATTTATTATTTTAATTAATTCTTCTTTTTATCTAAGGTCTTGGTCGAGATGAAAAAGTTAGTGTTACAAGTGGGATTCAAACCCAGACCTCCGGTTCAATACGCCACTGCTCTAACAACTTGAGCTATCGTGACTTCGATCCCCTCGATATCGCAAGTGGTTAGAGCAGCGCCATGTTGAGATGAAGGTCGTGGGTTCGAATCCCGCTCTTGACACTAACTTTTTTTTATCTCAACCAAGACTTTAGATAAAAAGAATAATTAATTGAAATAATTAATATGGTCAATTATAACCACTAAACATATAGGGATAAATGATTATTTTTACTTAAGCAACACTTTAATATAGAAGAAATAAATGTTGTAGAATTTTTTTTTGGTTTGAGAATACAACAAACTTCCAGTGAAGAGGGTGAAATGAAACTAAACAGCAAGGATGTCCAGGGAAGATTAAACTGTTGAAAAATAAAATAATGATTTTTGATTTTAAACTACTCCTGTCTAAAAAAGAAAGTATATATATACATATATTTTTAATTTTTTTTTTAAAGATAAGATTTAGTACCATTTAGGGGGAAAAAAATTAAGTTATGTTTTTACCAAGCAAGCACGATATATTGAAAGCCCGGTTTTTTTTAAAAATGAGAATGGCGAGAATAGCTAAGGAAGAAACTCAGTGGTAAAAGGAAGGCAAGGGACGAAAGCCCGCTCCTTTTAAAATTTTTGTTTATTGATTTTCAAACAAAACCGAAAAAAATGCTAACTATAGATAATTTTTATCTTTTGCTAACAGCATTTCTGATTTGGCATGTTGCAAAAGGTTGGCTAAATAAGATCAACGTTTGAAGGTAGTTGTTGTTTGTATAGTTTTATTTACGTTAGCTGCTGTATTCCTATACAGTTTGCCAAAAGTTCCTTAATGAACATTAGCTCATTCTAGATACTGAGCATTGTTTAAATTTAGAATATGGATAACATCCGTGACGCCAAGACGTACCTCGACGGGTGGGGTGTTAATCCAGCTCTCGCTAGCCCTTCGTGCCATAAGGGCTGGCGAGAACATGAGATCTTCTTCTTCTTCATCCTGACCGGACCAGAACATGATGGCTACTGGCAACCTCCTTATCCCCACCAACGCTTTCATCCCCATTCCGTGTGACAATCTTTGCCAAAAAACGATTTCGTTGTCTAAATTCTTTTGCCCCCAGGCTTGGTTTAATTGCCTCTTACTGTAAATTGCCAAAATTCGATTCTGAAGGAGTAACAATTCAATCGTTTGTCCTCCGTTGAAAACCGCCTGAACAACGAACGTCCTAGGTGCCCGAACAGTCGGAAATCTCTGAAAGAAAATGTTTACAATCCGAGTAAAAATTGTTATGGAAACAATAATCGTTCGCTGTTTAAATAAAACGATAGGGCGACGGGAGATGAGCTGGGGAAGAGGAAACTCTGCCAAGAGTAAAAACTATTTCCGTCTCGGAGCCGACTAACGCTCGGCCAACCAAATAAGAAAACCTAAGGTCGGCTTAATTTAGGACGGCCGCAAGCTCCTACTAATGATGTCCGCTATTGTTTGACAATATCTGACGCATAAAGACGTGCTATATTTCAATGGAGTAATTAAACTACTAACAGTAAACTGTAACAAATAATTTCCGTAAACAATGATGATCATTGAAACCGAATGCCACGATAAAATATACATTTGAACAGGCTAGGTAAAAAGCAAAATATCATGAACAATTCGTTGATCAAACGTGCAATGGGGAAAGATTTCTCCTCAAAAACAACAAAACTAAAAACAAACAAAAAAAAATGATTGTTATTTATAAATTTTACAGCATCTCTTGCCCTGGTTTACCTTAAAATAGTTCCACAATGATCAAAACATGACCAATTATAATTTTATGCCATATTATCGTTTAGCTTTCTTGTTTACATTTCGTGGTGCAACAGTCTTGGATGGTAGTTCATTCTACTTCGACTGTAAGCCTCGTATAAAATTTGTAACTACAATTTGTAACGCAACACATCTGTGAAACTTTTGCCTTAAAAAGACTTTCAAACAGTCTGGTCCTTAAGTCTGAGGCAAAACTGGGACTTTTTATTTTCCAGTTTTGACTAAATTTATACGCCAAGTCTTTATATAGAGCAAAATATTCACTAGATTTAAGTTAAATGCTGAAAGGATTTTTCTGAGGTTATTAATTTTACGAAATAATAAAATAATATTATTTGACACTCCTCTCCCTCCCTCTCTCTCTCTCTCTTCACAACGCACGCACGCACGCGAAGACACACACACACACACACACACACACACACACACACACACACACACACACACACACACACACACACGCGCGCGCACAGCCTTAGAAATCAAGAACAACCGGATAAAAATTAAAAGAGTACAGATACTGTTCCTTCTCAGGCTAATAAGAGGATGCAGAACTATTTCGTTCGAAGCTGATGATGCGTGATAGCAGGAGTGAGAATCTTTTATCTCCAGGTGCAAGATTTGATGCCACTCGAAAATGGGAAAGAAGGAAAGGAAGGAAATGGATGACTCCGAATTAGATAGCCCCATTCCGTGGAGCGTGGAAACGGGCATGGAGTGTGACTATGTTATATACATGGACGGTAGCAAGGATGGGGAGAATGTTGGTTGCGCGTACACAGTGCTTCAAGGGAAGACTACAATAGCAGGACAAAAATTTATGCTAAAAGGCCATTGCTCAAATAACCGGGCAGAAAAATTGGCAGTATCCAAAGCATTAGAATGGGTGGAGCAGAACTGCCAGGAAGATACCAAAATTAAAATTGCGACAGTTAACAAAGTCACCCTAAAATTACAACATACACATTCAGAGAGTATCATTCGTGGGGGTAAAAGCGCATGTCGGAATCGCAGATCAGACGGCTAAGGAAGCAACCCGGAGTGAAGATCTGCCTCTTTCCTATACCAGGATTCCAATAACAGCTATTCAAAGGAATATAAGAGAACGTATAGCTTGGATACATGGGAAGAATCGTGGAGAACCTCCGACAAAGGGAAAATTACAAAAGAGTTTTTACCAAACATCACCTCACGTCTTCGTATCGGGAATCTAAAAATCGACCAAAGAACAACGCAAACTGACCGGAATACATCACCGACTTCAGATCATCAACAGCCCTACCTGTCCATGTGGATAAACACTATAGCAGACATTGAACCATTTGCTGACGGAGTGCGACGGTGTCCAACAGGGCAGGTTACTATTGGTGAAACGCATGGTATGCATGGATGCGATGGCCTCCGGCAAAAAGCGAGTTTTGAAGAAGAAATATGCATCAAATTTTCACAGACCCTTAAAAGAAATATTTATTTTTCTAGAGCAGAGGGATTAACTGTCCATTCAATTACTCATGAAGTTTTATTATGTTTCATGTAAATGTAAATTTAAAATGATCCATGTAATTTCATGTAATGCTGTAAAGTGCGCGGAGCAAGATGTACTAAACGTACCAAAACGAAAAAATACTTACGCTTAAATAATAACTAAACGGTCATCTTCATACCTTAACAGCAGGTTCCTTTTTGTTGGGAGCGATGTAAAGGCTTTCTGTCCTTTTGGGTTGAGTAATCGAAGGTACCACCTCTTGCCCTCCGCGTCTCCTCGTCCCTGCAACTTCTTCGACGAAAGGCGAAGTCTGCCTCGGGAGAGGGAGTGCGCCGACCACCGAGCCATTCCCAGTACTCGGCGTTGGTGCTCTTGCGACGCTGGGCGCCCTGGACATAGCGGCTTGCACGGCGGCGACATTCTGGGGCGATAGAACAGTATCTCCTGCTGGAGTCTTGTCTATCGACGGTTGCCGAGAAGGGCCTCCGGAGAGTCTCGAACTGCCCCGGGCGTACCGGTCGACTGACCCGTCTCGACTTGGTGCCCGTTTATAGTGGTCAAAGTGGTCACTCATCGCCTGGAAATCAATTAAATTTATTTCAATGGTTATTGAATTTATTCCTTGCCTTAAGAGCTATCTGTACAGTCTAATCTTAAAGACTCTTACTTGGTAAACAAACGAGGAATAGCAGGAAAAGACATAGTTCAAAAAGTAAACACTGTACTTGCAAAGGCATAGCGTTGTTGATCGGTTTGTGAACTGTTTATTTACTGAAGACGATCAAATGAAAATACAGCCAAAATGACCGGAGGCGATCAAGCTATATCTCTTGTAAACATTAGATGCCAATACCAGGGTGGTATTTAGTTCAAATGTTGGTTTCATAGATATTTTCTTAATCTTCGAGTCATTGGTGAGCTTAACCCTCCAGGAAAGTACAAAACATTGATTTCGGAATGAAAGTAGTTAAGCTAAGTTCAAGTAGTATTAGATATAAAAAAGAGCCTAGTGTACTTTGATTTCCAATAGTCATGGTTTGATGAAGAAGTTCTTAAAATTCTGACAACACAGATATTTTAAAATGGCAAGATCAAATATGTATTGATTTATGACAATCTTGTTGCTGAGGTCCATCAATATAAGATAACAATTAAATATTTGTAACTTACTTGCTGGAAGTTATACGATGGTGACTCTCCGGTCACTTGCCTCGAATTTCTTCGTATCGTCTGTCGGCTGTGCAAATCGTCTCGTTCCACTTTATTACTAGGAAGCGGAGTCGGCGGCGTTACTACGTGTTGGTATGTAGCTGCGTCTTGATTCTGATACTGCTGCTGATACTGCTGTTGCAACTGTAGCTGTTCTTGATGGTATTGTTGCTGTTGCTGCGTGTACTGCGGTTGAGGCTGCGGCGGCTGGTGGTTCGGATAGTAGTTGTCCTGCTGGTGGACTATCGCGTTCGTCTGCATGGTCTCGTAGCCGGTGGTGGCCGATGTGGGTTTAGACGCTGGGCTGCTTGTTACACTACCTTCTCTACTCCTGGCGTGTTGCTGTTTGTTTGGAATAGAGTTCACAGCCACTTTGGGAGGGGACGTCACTGCTGTTGGTAGAACATCCTCAGGACGATACCTTGGCATTTCACGGTTTCGCAGTTTTTCAAGACCTAAAAAAACAGTGTAAATAACACATAAAAAATGTTTTGTTGTAGAAACAAAGTCAAGATTTTTTTTTATAAAATCCAAAATTGTCAGTGTTAGTGTTATTTCGTATTGCTTCCTGCTATGGATTTTAATATAAAATGAATTTAACAAACACTTCAGGTTTTGTTTTTAAAATAATTGCCTAGTACCTGGCTGAATGAAGTCTGGTGCAAACTGCTTCGCCGTGTTTTGTGCCACTTCGAAATCTTCTCTAGCGTGCTCAGCCGACAAATCAGCAAGTTCGGCCTTTCCTCTCGCAGTCGCCGTCCTAAAAAAACGATAAATAAGATTTATGGATCAAAATAAGTACGAACAGACCAGCTTTTTACCTTGAAATAGCAATATCAGCTTTTTGAAGGGCAATTTTTGAGGCACGTTGTGCAGCGTTCACAGCCGCGTCTATCCTTTCCCTGAACTTGGCGGATCTTATAAGGAAAAGGTGTTTTTTCTTCTGGGAGGTGATGAGGACGTTGTTCTTGTACTTTCCTTCTTCTTTAGAGCCGTCTCTGAATGTCGTGACACCGTAACCGTATTTCTTGTTATTAAACCATTCTCCTTCGTACTTGAGACCATCGGACCTCTCGCTGATGCCAAAACCCGACCTTTTGTCGTTCTTCCATTCGCCGAGATACGTTTCTGTTACAGAAGCGTCCATATGTTCATCCTGTAAACATTTCAAGCATTGTTATTTGCATTAATGCAATTTTTGTTCATATTTAACTGACGAAAGTCAGACAATTTACCTCGACGACGAAGCTGGCGTTGGAATCGGTATGAAGCGAACCGGTGACTCCGCTCTGTGAAGATTCTGTACTAACCCAACTCGCACTGCTTCCTGTACTTCTAATACTTCCACCGGAAGTACCACGTTTTTCAAGATCACCGGTGCTCCTCTGTTTTCGGATTTTCAACCCCTGGAAAAATAAATAAATTATAATAAATTGTGGAAACATCTCAGTAAGAGTGTATTTTTTTGTAAATATTTTTTTAAACAATAGCTCAAATAAGATTATGGGTTTGTTGTTTCCATCGGTTTTATTCGACATCCCAAGGGTGCTCTTTTATTATCGGCGCACCTGTTGAATCCATTACTTTTATAAGCTAAACCGGAGGTTTCAGATAGGATTTTTCTCCTACAGAAGAAACTCAAGAAAAAACAACTCTTTTTCAAAACTCCCACCTTAATAAAAATAAAGAAAAATTAGGTTAATAAATAAATTTGCGTAAATTATCGATACTTCTATTTCGGACTCCGAGGTAACTTATGGATAAAATTAAAGAGAAGTAGCTTTCAAAACCAAATTGATTAAGTCTTGAAAGGCTAAAAGTAATTTCTTTAAGACAAATATGTCCAAGGAGAAACAAATACACACATACATACATATAAATCTTAATTTTCTTTAAAAATAAAATGTAACGACTATGTCGACAGTCACTTCATCTGAGAAAAAAAAAGTATAATATTTTAGACAAAACACTGGACAAAATAATTCTTCACACTCTCTCTCACCCTTTGTTTCTCTCTCTCTCTCTCTCTCTCTCTCTCTCCCTCTCTCTCTCTCTCTCTCACACACACACACACACACACACACACACACAAATCAAGAAGTACAAAAAATGTATAAACCGAATAAACCGAGACAAAAAGGATTTGTAGTAAAATAATGTTCAGAGTTCAACCCTGAATTTTGATCGTTGACCAAACGAGAAGATTAATATCAATTGTTCACAATAAAAGCTAATAGCATAGTTATAAATTTTGGAAATACATTTTGCAAATTTATTTACTTAACGAATAAACAGGAACATTATGTTCAAGACATTAAAAAAATCCAATATGAATAAAACATAGGCCGTATTAACAAAAGCAAATGGATTGTTTAAAATTAGATTTTGTTCATTGTTATGATTTAAAATTTCATTTGAAAATTCAATAGCTGAGAAACAATTCAATGATTAAAAAGTAGATTGTATGGCGTTGTTGACTGTGGGAGTAGGATGCGTTACTGTTGACCTAAACAATGTGAAAATGTACACGCCCAGGTATGGCTTATTCTTAGCCAATAATGTACTCCTAATACTATGCTATTTATATGCTGTTATTTTTGGAGCAATAATATGTTATGCTTCCAGAATCAGAGTTATTAGAGGTCTTAGGACCTAAGATAATTAATCTAGTTTTGACTATGTAAAATTAGTACATTTTGTGAATTTTATACTACCTTATTTTGGAAAACTTTGGACAGTTAATGAATACTTATGATTAAAATAAGTTTAGTTCAATGTGAAGAATTGTTCATATTTGTTTAATTAATTTTTAATAAAGGTTAATCTTCAATCTTTTCAATATATGAATGATCTGAAGTTACATTACGTTATTAGATTAATAATGTACATGTTCGGTTCATTATATTTTCGAAGTCAGCGAAGTTAGAGAAATGATGGACTTTGTCCTTTGTCATACATTCCCAGGCCGATTCTAACCACACAGCAATACTTCAGATTTATAAAGTTTGTCTTGAAGCCTTGTCGGTCGGTTTGCGAGTTGTTGAACCTTTTCCGGGGCTTGATCATCTTCAATCATTTTTAATTTTAATTTTATCCTGTGATCCATGGAATTTGCTATGTAGCATTTATTTCTTTGTTTTGGAGTTATTTTTGTGTTTTGTAGAATGCGGTGTCATGGTGATCGTTTTTCGTAAACGTGCATTTACTCACCGCTAGATGATTTCACATCTTGTGTAATGAATTTGTAAGTTTTTTTAAAGTTTATACAGTTGTGTGCATGTGAAAACACTCATTCTTGAAAAAAATCCTTTGCAAAAAAAACTACAAGGTTTAACAGAATTCAAAGGGGTGAAGAAATCAGAAGAATAACAAAGACAATCATACGGTCTGAGCAAACCAAAAATATGAGCAATCAAACTCATTAGGGAAGTACACGTTGATATTTCAAGCTAATAGGCCCTAAAAGCACTAACACGCCAATAAAATAGTCGGCGAATGTATCCAAAATGTTTAAAACCTGGCAAAACAAAACAAACTAATAATTTCATGGCGCCACAAGCTGGTCAGAGGAAAATCTACAAGATCAACTATAAGCCGAGAACCTATAATCACGATAAGCTCAAACAGAATTTTCTATCTGGGTAGTAGGTTCATACATGGAAAAAGCATAAATGACGAACTCTAGATATACCAGAAACAATAAACCTTTGGTCAAAACTAGCATTGATTCAGCTAAAGAGGATAAGTCAGAGTAGTCACTGCGATCTGAGAAAATCCTAACATGGATATATTCCACCCAGTTTCCTGTCTTCCTCCTTTTCTTCATCATCATCATTTGGTAATACCTAGATAAACATATGTTGTGGTAACATTAAGAGATAGATTAGCGGACAATTTTGGCCGATTGAACGCAGGCCATTTCTGCTCATATTTGAAGTGAATATAGTAAAATAAGGATGTTGGAATGTAATGCATTTAACATCGTCATAGGTTTTCGATCGTTTGGACTTTTCAAATTTGTTTATAGGAACCTGAATAGTATATTTCGCATATACCATACTTAGTGCATAGTTATCAAGTAGACAAACTGCTTACATGAAACCATTAGAAATGAGAGTTGTTTTAGATTTTAGAGGTTAAAGTCTGGTGCCCACATAAGGTTTTGGCAGACTGCTTGTCAGTTTGGGCTATTTTGTCTGTTTATGTCTTTTCTGAGAAATTTGCTTTTAATGAGGTTTTAAGTTAATAAAACATAAAAACTTTCTCATTCTTAGTCATGATTGACTAGCTGGCTAATTTCCTGCTGAAGATGTTTACGTTTGTTTTCTGCGTTGAGTATTATCGAATTTAATCCGTCTCTCTTGTCTCTCAATGCTGGGATTTTGTGCCCGCCAGAGGGTGGAGTCTGCGCGAATGTGTCCAACAAGTCATTCATTAATTTTCATCGCCCATTCCGAGGCCTTCTCTGGTCAAAATCCACGAACATCAATTCGTCCGATGTTTGATCGACAATTTTCGCTGTTTCCCTCAGACGGTTTATGTCTAATCTCAACAGGGACACGGAAAAATACAGAGAATAAAGGGACCAGGTCGAAGGTGTTCAAGGACGAAGTTTATATTGCTTGGATAAACTTGACGCTAAATACATCTTACTTTGAAATAAATGTATGAAAAGTAAAAATATAAATGATCTTGTAAACTAATTTTGATTGAATGAAATGATTTTCAGTATAGAACATGATTTGCATAATCTAAGCGTCAAATTTATGTGTATTTCAGACTAAAATGTTTCCGGAGTACTTGAGTTATGTTTGTTAAAGTGAATAATTAATTCTCCTGTATGCAGTTTTCTTGGATTATGAACGTTTTCGTGTAACTGAATGTATTTATTAGGTTGAATGTATAATGTGAGAAGGTCGAAAGCTTTGATAGTCTATCGATTGACCTTCACGTGAACGGTATTAACGAAGAAAATAATGTATTTAAAAAAATATACAAACATGATGGTAAGTTAGTTACCGAGAGTATGGACTTTTTGATATTGCTGCTTTTTTCTACGAGGGATCTTCGACGGACTGGTGCTTCGTCGCTCTTCGCCTTGAGAACGAAGCCACCCCGAGAATCGTCGACTCTTCTGTCCCTCTCAGCAGCTGCTGCGTTTTCCGGGCCTGCACCACCTGCGCCTGCAGCACCGTCCACGCTTCGCAGCGACGTGAGTGACGCCCTGAGCGATTTGTTAGGCCGATAATGGGACGCCTGGCCGAAAGGTGCGGACGCCCTGACTCCGTATCCGTGCCGCATACCTCGCAGCCACTGTCCTTGGTAAGTGCCTGAAAATAAAAAAATAAAACTTGATAAACTAAGTCACACTTTCATTAATTAAAAAAATTAATAAAACGAAATGAATCACGCAAGTGTTTTCATCTGATTAAAAAAAAAATCACTTGTCATTATATTTACACATTATCCACTTTTAAAATAACAAGTTCAATGTCTGTAAGTTGTCAAATACAAGTCAGAAAGAGGTCTGAATGAATCTAAAAAAATTGGCTGTCGTCAACATTCTTGATGCTGAAATTCCAGGACAAGATGGCTGATATCTCTTTGATGATTTTTCATATCAAAACAGACTTTGATTAGCTATTTATAACTTTACTCAATCAAAATTGGTTTAGAAAATACAGAACAAACTTCACGTGCGAACAAAATTATTATAAACATTTCAAAATATTCAAAATAAGTACGGGTTTTAATTGAAAATAAATGACCAAGAAAAGAAACCTAAACTGATATTATAAATATGTATATGCGTATGTGTGTATTACATATATGTATATGATTTTTTTACTGTTAATTTTGTTAAATAATATATTTGTTTGCTGCAACTCTATATGCAGGTACAAATTTTGCAAAAATTAAAAAAAAATTCATGGCAGAATAATTTATGAATTTTTTTTTGGTCAAAAGGTAGAGTTAAGTAGCATGGAAAAAGTACTTATGATTGATAGAAATGGTGAATGATGGAGTGAGTGCAGTGTTCAATAATTTTTTTTTAAAAGTTGTTCCTACTCACAGTAAGTTGTTTTCCAATGATCCGGATTTCGAGCCCTTTAGCTCATCATCAGGTTGAAGGATTTCTACTAAAGAAATCCTAGAAAAATAGTAGAAATCCTTCAACCTGAAGATGAGCTAAGGGGCTCGAAATCCGTATCGTTGGAAAACAACTTACTGTGAGTAGGAACTATCTTTTTTAAAAAAAAGGATACTTATGATTTTCTATTTTATTGTTAAATAAATTTAGTCAAAATGCTATGAAATTTACTTATGACACTTCTAACTCCCATTAGAAACATACTTATGTATGATTCTCTACTTTCTTGTTTACGAAATACAGTTAAATCGCTTCGAAACTTCCTTGTAATTTTTCATTTTTTGGTGAAACTTAAAATGAAGTTGCAATAATTATTAACAATGACTTAACTTAATAAATTGTCATTTTCTGTTTTCTTCGCATTGGAAACTTACTTATTGTTTTCTATTTTCTTGTTCAACAAAATATAGTTAAGCTGATCAGAAACGAAGTTATGATATCCGCATTTGGATAAATCATAACGGTAAGTCGCATAGAAATTTACCTAGGATTTTTCTATTTTTTGATAAAAAAGAAAGATAAGTCCCATTGGTACCTTACTTATGATTTTATATTTTCTTTGTAAAAAAGGTAGAATTACGTTCTATTGAAAATACTTACGATTGCCTATGTTCTTGTTCACGAGATACAGTAAGTCTTAGAAACTTACTTATGATTTTCTATTTTGGTGGTCCAAAACTAAATTTTAAATAGTACAAAAACTAACTAACGATTTTTCAGTTTTTCATGACAAAGTCGGGTTAAATCACATTGGGAACTTTCTTGTAGTTTTCCTTTTTTTCTTCAAAAAGCAAAGTTAAGCTCATTGCAAAACACACGTATGATTTTTCAATGTATTGTTCACAAAGTAAGCCTAAGTCGCATAAGAAACATACTTATGATTTTTCATTTTCTCGATTTAAAAGTGCAGTTCACTCGCATAGACTTACTTGTGATTTTCCACTTTTGTGCTCAAAAAATTAAGCATTTTCTACTTTCTTGATCAAACAGTAGTTTTGCTTCATTGGGAGCTTACTTATTGTTCAGGTAGTAAATTTAAACCCTTGGAAAATTTGAGTATAGTTTACAATTTCGTTTTTAATGAAATGCTTTTAGTTAATATGAGTTAAAGAAAAACGTAGAAAAAATTCGGTTATTTTTATGAAATAATGTTTATGTACACACTTTTCATGTGTTTACCTACTTAACATGACATTAGCAAAGCAATCTAAATTGCAAATCAGTTTTTAATGAACAATAAAAATTTAACGTAAGAAAAACATCAACACATTAGTCAATAAATGCTTACGATCCTGAAAAATATTGAACAACAATTATGCCTTTTAAAACGAGTTGTTAAAAACACCTTAAATTTTTTGGGTTAAATGTATCAGCATTTATGACGTAGATGACAATATTGCCATAAATATCTCATACTACTCAGTATGAGGTCTTTAAAGTTGTACATTAAATGTAGTTATACATTATAGTACACATTAGACACTAAAATGTGATGTATGTTTGTAAAAAAAAACCATATAAAACTTCATATTTAACAAAAATCGTCATTATATAAAGCTGTTATTAGACATGAATAGTTATATGGGAGTTATTAGGAGTTCCTGGAGGTTCAGAAGCTTAATAAATACTTCATTAAAAGGGTGTTTTCCTAAGTTCTCAACATCCTGGGCTGTGTAATACGCTTTGATAAAATTTTTCTTGGTATAATTAATATTAAATCGAGGTAATACGTAATAATATGTTTAAGGTAGTCTTAAATATTAGTTGAAATGATTTGTACATTAAAAGGAATGATGGTGAGACGAGATGGATATCAAGAAGATACGTGGATTGAAATTTTGGATTTGAGAGAGATACAAGAATGCCTCAAGTATTTGAATATAACCTATCCTAGAAGCTAAAAATATCTCCAGCATCAAAAAGGCAACCGACATAAAACGGAATCTGCTAGATTTTATGAAACAGTTTGATTTATTGTACGAGCAGAGCGTGTAATTGTGATAAATACATCCACTTTCATGGAAAATTCATAAAGTGAAGGATAATAAATTTGAATAATGCAATTTCCTCGATCTGTACTAGGAACACGCTTGTTCATTGTGTAGTTTAGGACAAAGGGGAAAACTCTTATAATATCATTGGCTTGTGTCCAATCTTAACAAATGGTAAAATATCTCAATGGTAAAATTGGCGAGCTACTTTATATTAATTCAATTATCCTGTTGTTACCTAAAGTTATGTTTTTAACCAATCTTTTAAATTATTATTGCATTTGCAAGTGCAGTGCTCTCTCAGTAATCCGAATTAATTCCTGCTGGGGAGTATTCGGATTACTGAACAATTCGGATTATGGAAGATGTTGAAAAAAATAAATACATATGTACAAAATTAACACAGCACTCTATTTTTATTACATAAACAAAATGTTAAACTTATAATACATATAAGAGGTAGTCAGCTCGTCGTGTTAAAAAATTTTTTTGGTCACATAACATCTAGTGTGGAGTAGAATCCCGTAAACTTCATGGGTTTATCTCAATCTGTTCAAAAGTTACAATTTTTTAGTGTTTATTAAAAAAAACACGTTTCTTTACATAAAAGCATAATTTACTCCACTCTAACGTAACGTTTCCCAACTTTTAACTCTATTTTTAGATTTAGCACCGAATTTTTTTTTCATTAGTCTACTTTTGTCCTAAAAATTGCCAAAATAATTGGACAAAAACCATGAAATTTGCGAAATTGTAATATTGGATCAATTTCTCTAAACCGTAGCCCCCTTAATATAAATTTTTAAAAATGTCAAACCAGCTAAAAACTTCAACATTTTTCGAGCTTTCAACAGTCTTTTCAAAACCTGGATTATTTTGATTTCAGGCAGTTTCAGTTGGAAGTTGGGAAAACGTGGTTCGGGACGTATCCCGGGAATTAAATGCATAGCTCAAGAGTTGACCGAGTTTTTATTCTGAAGAACATTTGTTTCTTTACTAATAAATTAAAGTAAACCATAAATTAATATTGAAAAAAAATTGCAAATTGGTTTTGATGACATTTAGAAGAATGTAATAATGCACGTGCATTATTGTTTGTTGGGTATATTTTGTGATAAGATATGTCAAAAATTATTGTTTATGGATATTCAAGAAATAATTTAATAATTTGTTGAAGTCGTGAGGAGCAGTCAAGAATGAGGTAGTTTAGAAAAACACTTTTTTAATTTTTTTCCCGACGTTTCGACCTTTATTCTTTATTCTTATTCTTAAAATGTCTTACATTTTGCATTAAGTAAAAGATTAGTTTTAAAGAATTTTAAATTTTGTTTCCTTACATGTATTAATTTATTTAACTATAACAGTTCCCCCATGTAATTACAAATAATACTAAATACTACAAATTACAATTTGTAAATACAGAATGATTGGTTACAGTTTGAGTGAATGTATTTATTAGTGCGATAGTAGTGTATGCATGGGTGGGTCTATGGTAGAATATCAAGTACCCCATAAACCCACCACCTAGGTTAATGTTTTAGATTAATTGAAATTTTAATTGTACATAATGTATGGATGTATTTATTAGCGTGAACGAAGGCGGGTCTTCAGAGGAATATCGAGTACTCTGAAACTCGCCTATAGGCTAGGCTAGGATTGAATGTTAGTGAATGAGATAGTTTCAGAGCCTTTTCACCACGTGTGGGAGGGGTAAAAATGTAGAAATAACGACCCAGAACACAACCAGAAAGATCGCCAGACTTCCTACAGAAAAGCTAATTAAAAAAAAATAAATAAATAAAAATAAATAGCAGCTAGCCGGCCGGGGAAGAAGAAAAAAAAAAACTAGCGAGTTATATTAGACTCTAGGTTAAATTTTATGTTACACATTGATTCTTCGGTTGTGCGACTGAGAAAACTCCTTTATAAAATCAGTGTATTCAGAAAGATCCTAGATTTAAAATTGTTAAAATCAGTTTATTATGCCTTAGTTCAGTATATAATTTGCTAAGGTATTGTTTCAACCAATAATTGTTATTTAAATCAATTAATTATAACTCAAAATTCTCTTTTGAGAATTATCTTTTCTAACCTTTTAGATTCAACACCAATCAACTATATGTTATTTTTCATGTTCTAAAATTTAAACAATTGTTTTTAAAATATTCTTGTTTCTGTGTTTTTAAAA